TCATGGAATAGTTACATTATGTAAATTAAATTAATGTATTATTATTATTATTATTATTATTATTATTGCAACAATAACTATTTAAACAAAGCATACTGAACATCTAATTGTTGAACGTACAGCACATAAAACAAATCATGTGAGGATGTAAGTAGCTTACATTCACAGCTAATTTGTCTTACTGCAAAACTCACACATAAACTCATCTCCAGCAAGACAGCTAAAAATCTTGCCTCACGATCACTACAGCTAGCACGTTATGCTAATCTTAGTTGGTCAGTGAATCTCCAGCCAATAACTGTGTCATTATGACGAAAATCCACTTAATTAATATATAATAGACAATATGCCAAAGTGTGTTTTTTTTGTCCCTTGTCTGCGGGATGGGGCATCCTTGGGCATCTTGCTCTGAAGGTCTGATTTTACATTTTAAGTTTGAAAGCAAAAATTTTTTCACCTCTGAAAACCAAGTATATTGTGTATATATATATATGTGTGTGTGTATATGAGGGGGGGGCATCCTGGGGGCCTTCTTTGTTACAAAGTTACCCCGACAACCCTGTTTTACCATTCTGTACTTCTTGGAATGCAGAAAGATGTTACCTAATGCACTCATTCACTCTTCACTTCTGATCTCGCACTTAATATTTGAGCAAATTGTTTTAAAAAAGTCAAGAAGGTAATATTTGTCTTCAGGGGCTATAACTGCATTTATTTAATTAACTGTATTTAGATTAAGCAGTTTAAGCTTCTTGTTTTTCAGGTCATGTATCCTTGCAGAGCTTCTGTTCACTTTATATTGGTCTGGCTTTCACTGTTTGCATGTTTTGGATAAGATCGTCTAATGAATGCACAGATGCAAATGGGTCATTCCATGCCAACTCATCCAGGGTCTGTCCAGTTACGGCATGAATTTCCATGTAAAGATTCAAGCAAAACTTTAAATTGAACTTATGCAACCATGCAACATCTCAAAATCTCCAAATAGTTTTTATCTATGATTTTTTCAAGTTTGCCCAGGTTCTAAATAATAAATGCATACAATTCTTTTTATTGACCATTCTGGCCCTATATTTATGATAATACATATTTCCTTCAAATCTTTTCCCAAAGTAAAAACAGTTATGTCTCGTTAACATATAAAAACTACATTACAGATGCATCATGACTCCTTTATGGTTTAATATGTGTAATATGTGTAAATGTAGTAAAATATCATAGTAATTAAATTTCTTGTTAGTGGGACAACTGTTATGCACAGAATCTCCTGCTGGTAAGAAATAAAAAAAAGATTTTTAAACATTCCAACTGCATGAAAGGCTTTGAACCTCTGAGAATTTCTGGAGAGAATACTTTTGAAAATATCAGTGACACCAGCAGAACCTAACAATTCAGTAGTCCGCAGAGGCAGCGTATTGCAGGAAAGCACATTACCGCTCTGTTTGATGTGAAATGGTGGCTAGTGTTCATTTTGGAAACCTCAGATGATGATGATATTAATGTAATTATTTTAATCATCATGGACAGAACATTTATTTTGATAGGCAGCAAAACAGGATACTTTGCTGAGTGCCTCTGCAATAGATTTTGCCATTTGTTAATATTGTGCTTCTGTGTCTAATAAGCAAGTGTTAAAAATGATCAAACAATGAAGAGTCATAGCACATCTGTAATTTTATATGTTATTGAAAATTTCATTTTCAGTAGAAATAGGATGTCCGGTTTGAGAGAATAGACTGTCAAAAAGGCTTATAAAATTCAGGTTAAATTGTGAAGCTATTTTAACCTCATGGTGTAGCTTCAAATATTGCATGCAGAAATGAATCATTTATAGACTTGGTAGAAATTGAGGAATACTATGATAAAATGTATTTTTTGCCAAAATATTACTGAAAACTAACAAAGATTACATTTTGCAAATAAATCTGACAACCATTTCTTGAAACTTATTAGCATGAAACTAGTTTCAAAATATTATTATTAGCCTGGTATTTACACCAAGTCACTATATCAGCTCAGTTCAGCCGTTCTGCAGTTAAACTCAATATTTATGCTGTGATTTTGGAACCTGATGGGACAAACTTTTTTGTTGACATTTTGCATGGTTGCATAAAGTAAACTGAAGCGCTTGAATTTTTTCACGTGAATCCATGCCGTTACTGAACAGGGCATATAGGTGATTTGCTGTGGAATGACCCAAAGGTAAATGTAATTTGTAACACAGTGTTCCAACAGAATTTAATGTATTAATAGTCACGTTCAGGCCCTCTACTACAGCTCGTGCAAATCCACATGAATGAAGCCTTAGCTGGCATCAGTTTTATCACTACTGTCATACTTTACAGTTTATGCACAGGAGCTTCCCAGTAGGACCCTCACGGTGCAGTTGCATGTGTGGGGGGCCACATACAAGGTAGCTCACCTCACAATGTGGCAAATGAAATTGGTGTAGCTCTCTCTGCCTTGCAACATCATCATACAGTACACTCCTGTGGCCTTGTTATGTGGGAGTGATATGGAAGGGAAGCCTGTGTACCTGTCTCCCTGCTTTACATCTCACTTCACAGGAGCTTTGTGGGAGCAGTGGGGGGCATTACATCACCTGAAGAACAAATTGAGGAGCATCCCACACACTGTCTTCATTTCTTCTCGACTGGGGGGGCGATGGCCTGATCTCCTCCGCTCTTCCCGGGCCTGTGAACTTCCCGCACATCTGCCCCTACACATCTCCTCACTCTCATGCTCTCTGGGTAGAGCAGCTTTCCCATCACTCTTTTCTCAGACAGCCAGGTTTGATGGCTCTGGAAACCTTAAAGATCAGTTGCATTAAAATCACACAATAAATCTCGCTCCTAACTACGTATGGGAGGATATGAAATGTTTTACTGAAAAACGGCTCTAACGTGACCTTTATCCACCATCTGTTATGCACGGAGGACGCAAAAGCACCGGAAAAATGGAAAACACATGTATGATGCAAAATTCTGTGAAACATAAACAATGCTAAATGCTGCTTGCTTACAAGTAAGCGTATCATTCAAATGTAGAATGTCCAGCTGTGATTTGACCATTACAGGGATTTCTGACCAAGCTAACAACACAAATCACATCGAATTTGCCTCTCAGACTGAGTTGGATTCACTTTCAATGTGATTTTCCAACTTGGCAGCAGAGCAGTTGGGTTATTCCACACTAACTCAGCTACAGTCTGCTAGTCACCATGCTGCAAAAATGACTTGTTTGCAAGTTAAATAATCTGATATGTTTTATGTCCCCCCCCCCTACAATGACTGAACTGAACTGAAAGATTAGCTGCAGAACAATGAATAATACTCCACTTCAAAGCATTGAATTTAAGTTAATCAATTCTCACAACAGGTCAGTTTTTGGTGTTATTGGTGGAGTTTTATTAGGCCAGAGCTTTAAAATTTTACCCTGTAGTGAATATTTAAATTGACTAAATTATTAGGTTGATGTAGTGTTTCTACATTTCTATTCAAACATACACAAGATATTTGAAAATATAGCAAAAAAAAAAATGTTTTAGTTCTATATTTTCTCAAAACAGAGTAACTGTATTTCTTTCTATGTGCCAACTTACATAAGAAAATTATGTCTCATTGAAACAAATATACAGTCCTATGCATAAGTTTGGTAAAACTGGTAAAACGACCTTTTCTTGATTTTCTAACTGAAATTGTTAACACATCCTCTAAAGAAAACACACCTTCACACAAATGTGTGCGAATGTTTTTATATTTTATGGTTGATTTTTCCCCAGGATGTTAAACTCAGCAAGTAAATAGAAATTAGGCACTAAAATTTGCAGAAATGTCATATTTAAGTTTATTTCCTGTTTAGGATTTTTTTCACTCATTTTCACTTAAAAAGAATATGACTGTAATGTGCTATGGATCATTGTTTGAAAATGATTCAAGAGATATTTGACTAATAAGCTCAACATAAAGTGGAAGACACTGGACTTCCAAATGAACCTTTATAATGATCCGGAAAGCCTGTATCTGTTTTTGAGAGGTAATACAGTTGTATGCAAAAGTCTGAAAATCTGGTCAAATTACACAATTGGTGATTTTCTAAATAAAAATAAGTTAATAAATCCTGGTATTTTCTGTACATTATAGTGCTTAATTGGTATTTATTGTCTGAGTATTTAGTATTTATTACCTTAGTATATTGGAAAAAAAAAAGAAAAATATATATAAATGAGCCATAACTTTTGCAAAGACCATAACTCCATTTTTGCAATAAGTTCAGCAGATAAACAGTAATTGTGCATTAAATGTGTGATCTCTGTAGAAGAAAACTTCTCACATAGAAAATCAACAAAATGTGATTTGATCAGGGGTGCCCATACTTTTGCATATGACTATATTCTCACATTTTTTTCTGTTACTGCAGAACTGTATCTCCTGTTACTGCAGGATTAATGATGCATAGAATCTCCTGAAGACGCTACCAACGAGTATTCTCTCTTGCTGGCCGTCATGTCGCAGACACAGAAAATATACATCTAACTCATTAAAATCTTGTGATGTTGCATTTGAACATATGGCTTTTTTCCATATAGTAGCCTAATTGGCTTCCCTCTGTGAAATTACAGACCATATAGATATAACAGATGCTCGACTCTGTAGGAACTTTTCACTTAGGCTGAAACACTGCAATATAACCCAGTTTCTTCTTTCCTTTTCAGACCATATACTGCCTGGATTTAAACAGAGTTAGAAGACTTTATTCAAGAACATCAACATCAGCACAACTGTAGTCCCACTTTGCCCTGAGGTTGTGCCTCTGAGTCACCTCACCTGGTAGAAAAGGCGACAGAGTTAGTCTGATCATGTTTTGCTCAGATAAGACTGAGCTTATCTATTATGTCTTATCCTGAGGGATCACCGTATGGATGTTCTCTACAGTAGTGTATACTGCACACAGAGGGAGACTCAAATAAAGCCACTGAGACGCAATCCTCTCCGCATTCCTTCTTTAGAAAATATTTTCAGACAGTTTATTATAAAAATATAAATGTTTCCACTACAAATCATTTTACATTAGTAGACAAGGCCATCTACATTTGCGCACCCACCCAGACCCACACGCACACACCGGTCTAAAGAAAGAGTAGAGGAGGAGGATGGGGGGCAAAACAGTATTGCTCTTTAGAAGTTTCATAAAGTAAAATACAAAACACTGATAATGTCATCACGTAACCATGTCATAACTTACTGTATGCTACAAAGAAAAAACATTCAAATTGGCACGGTATACTGTTTGTTATCAAATAAATAGGTCATTACCGTTGCTTTTTTTAATGTAAAAAACAAATATGATACAAAATAACATAAAATATAATACAAAGGAGTTTTTGCTCTTTTAAAGTTTGCACACATTTTTCTTTCATTCTTTTATACATACAAACATTTGTACAAAGGGATGGCCGGGTAATCGACAGTACCGCTAGGTTCACCATTGCTATTATTACAGGTCCTGTTTACATATGTACATGCTAATAGCTGAGAGAGCAGCAACATTTACAGGCAGATTGAGGAGGAACAGAGGAAGAGCTAACAAAGTTCCTTCATAAAGTGTTGAATTTCAGAGAAAGTCACTCTCTGCATGGGCAACGTTTTCAGTCTTTTATGATCTGCATAAGCCTTATCAAGATGCACTAATAAAAGGTTCAAAAATGCCAATGACGGTTATCTGAATATAATGACTACGCATCTCCTACCTCGTCAGAGCATTTCTATTTCTGTTTGCAGCCAAAAACAAATCAATGAACAATGGCACAGAACCTCAGCCTGAAGTAGTCGGTTGCATGGTATTCACTTCTCTCTTTTGCTTCTCAAAGACTGAATGAGGGATGTGCATCCTGAGCTTTTGCAATAATGATATAGTACTTGACATTGTCCCTAAAGCACTTCCCCTCACAGATCTTACTACCATTTGAAGATTTTTTATTTTTTTCCAAAATGGACTCACTGCAGTAAATTATAGGATATGTTCTTCACCAAAGTCCTTCATTTTACCTGTCACATCTAACGCTTCCCATCCTCCTCTACAGTCAGAATGTTCTTCTGATCTACTCTCTCGCTGATCTAACTGGACATATGCAGGTGCTACCAACATGTCTGACCATGTTCCAAAATTAGTAAAGTAAAATATTATTCCACAATATGTTTTTAAAGTGATCTCTGAATGTTCAGAAATCTAGGATATACAGTTTACAGTTGCATTGATTTTTCAAGTTGCTGACAAATTCACATGTTCACTTTTGGTTAATATATATCCAGGGGTTCTCTCAACAGCACAAGAAAGCATTTGCTTTACTTTTAAAGTGACATAAACATCCCATCAGTGGAGCAAGTTCACCATATACATGTTGACTCCGGATGTTTCAAGCGTGACCGTTTGAGATGCCCGTTCTCTTATAGATTAATAGTTAATCAAATACGCCGCCCGTTGTGTCAGATCCTCAGAAGCATTAGCAAATTGCTGGAACATCAATCTTGTCTTTATCTGGCAGTCCTGCTTTTATGGGCAACTGTAGTGTAGTTTACTGGAATCCGTTTCTCAATTTCTCTTGTTCTGTAGCAAAATCTGGAAATTAAAGGGGGCTCTCATGTATTGGCAGGCTGTTTGTCTCCTGCCTGCCCAGACACACCCAATCCAACATGACCACAGATAGACCAATGATTCGTGAGGATGGAAGAGGCCTTGAGCTTGAGTTCAGTTCTCTCCGAAAGGGCAGCCTTCCAACAATGAGAGCTGCTGCTTTTGCAATGTTTACTAAAGGCATCTCACCTCTCTCCTGTCATACATTAAGAGCTTTCAGTTGTATCCGCTTGGAGGAGACTGGCCTGGCTCCTGACGGCTCCATCTTGCTCTTCACACACATACTCATGGCGTGTGGAGATCTGACAGGAGCCCGGACTCCAACCAAGAGCACAGGTTCACCAGGCCCCGGAGCCACACCCACTCTCTTCCTTCTTTTCTACATAAGGCAACACATCAATAGCCTGGGAGGCAACACTCTCTGCCTGAGCACCATTAATAAGTGCTGGAAAGACTCTTCTCTTCTGCTATGCACTGATTTCTTTTCACTTGTAGTTTCTACTTTTCTCTAATACAGAATTCCTGTCTGTTAAAGCCAAAAGCAGCAACAGTCACCTGTGTGTACATTTCTCTTTCTTTCCTGTCCCTCCCTTTTTATTCCTTTATTTATCTATGTTTTTTTTTTCTACACAGGAACTGGGCCATTCTTCGTGTGCGTTTCAAGTGCTTTGATGCTGCTCACAATCTTCTTCTGAGGTCCGACAATCGTTACGCCAACTTTCTTGAAGTCCCTGGGAGACGAAGGAGAGGGAGAGAAAGTGTATGAGTGCTGCAGTAGTCACTGAATGACATATGGTGACAGTAATGACAAGCCCTCAGCACTGCTCCGCCTCTACCCTCCTCCAGCAAACCTTCCCTGTCAATCACAGAGACTGGAGTATCCCAGAAGGACACTGTACTGCCACTGCCGACCAGTCAGCTGAGCAGCAGTCATGTCCATGGACAACATGGGCCGCGAAATTCTGCATTCATGGATTCGTGGGTTGATAAAACATGTGAGTTGCTGCTCCACAGATTCAGAAGCACAACATAAGACACAAAGTTCCTCTGCCATGATTTGAGGGGAGCAGCACCTGATAGATCAACCAGACAGTTTTTTTATTTTCTTAATTTAATTAGTTCCATGCAGCAAGTGACGCAAGCTTGAATTATTTACAGCCACATTTCAGAATCTATAACCATATGGTGTATGTTACTCACCCCATGCACACAAACTAATGTTAGACTGTCATTGTTTTCCTGATTAACACTTTAAAACAATGCAGCATAAACAAAATTAGTACAGTCTTGCGAAAATAGATGCTTCAATTTCAGTGGAATGGTGCAAAAAATGTCACATTTTGAGGCCTTGTGAACTTGGACATTATCAAAGCATATTAGTACAAGCAGATCTAGGTTAGAACTGTTCATATATGCTCAGTTAGACAGATCTTTTAGCATGTGCAGTCAGCATGTTGTAGGGCCTTTAAAATAAACATCAGTGCAAGCAGAGAGTCAGCACACAGTGAACCATGATCGAAACCCACCATCCAGTCTTTAAGGCCTAAAGGGTCGTAATTCCCATGGACGGCTCCCACTCAGGACAAGTGGCTGCAGGCCTGACCTCAGCCAGGCAGATTCTATGGATAAAGCAAACCTTTAGAGTGACCGCCACACTGACTGGCCTGGATGCATTTGATGCTCTTAACAAGCAGCTGCACATATATCAGTTCTAACATCATCCAGTAGAACTAATCTAGAAAAAAGTTCTTGAAGTGAAACACTGGAAAATAGTGAACAATGAACAAAGTCAGTGCCATATTGTGCAAGACTACCACCAATAACAGAGTTGTACTGCAAGGGAATGAAAACGCTATCTAGAGTTCAAATTAGAATGATAAGCTACACTGTTTCTAGATTGCAAAAAGCTGAAACAACAGTGACTGCTGTTACTCATTATTCATGCTAAACACCAATTTCTCAATAAAAGGACATCTTAATGAGTTGTTTGGACAGAAAACAGCACAGAGGGTGCAGTGACACACACAAACATTCATTAATCTGTTCCTACAATAGACAGAGGTGATATTTTACAATAATGTCGAAAGATTATGGCAATTACTCAGTTAAAGTGCGGTCCACAATTAATCGGACAATGGCAGAATGGTTAGTTTGGCCCTGTATTGCAGCACATGGGATTTGAAAAGAAGCAATGACTGTCAGCTTTGAGTGTATCTACATCCATACTGGGTGAACAGTGTAGGAATTACAGCCCTTTTTATAAAAGGATAACATTTCCATACACCCATCTTTGGTGAGCTGTGTAGTCAGTACAGCCCGTTTCCTCTATATATAACAGGCTGCTTAGCTGTTTCTTGTTGATGCATGATTATTTCATAAAAAGGGAGCTAACAAAAGGTCCAGAGTTGACTCTATATGTGGCATCTGGAGCCTGTTACTGTTGTCATGAGGACCTAAGAAGCATCAATGCCAAAAAAGCAGGCCATCATGAGGTTCAAAAATCAAAATAAACCAATCACAGACAGTCAAACATTAGGTTTGTCAAAATCAGCTGTTTTATACATTGTTAAGAAGCAAAAAACACATTGGTGAGTTTAACAATAGCAAACAATTTGGTAGACCACAGCAGTGGATGACTGAACGCTTTCAATCATGAAGAAAAACTACTGAACAGATAAAGAACATTCTCCAGGTTGTAGGCATAGATGTGTCAAGGACTAACATAAACAGAAAAATGCATGAGCATAAACTCACAGCATTCAGAGCATGATGCAAACCACTGGTAAGCCACAAGGCTTACCTGCCAAGAAGGGCCACAGAAAGGTTATAGCTAAAAAGTATATGGAAAAAGCCTGTTCTAAGTTCTAAGAGACTTCAGTATAGATGAGCTGAAAAATAAGCTATACCAGAGTGATAAAAAAGTATAAAGAAAAAATTCTGTTATTCTGTTTTTAGTCATAATTTAAATTCTTCATAAAATTCTTTTCCTGGTCAAAAGATAAAATATATATATATATATATATATATATATATACACACACACACACACACACATATATATATATATGTTACTTATACAGTTACTTATGGACTACACAGTATGTATGCATCTACATTACTGACTGCAAACATGCACATTTTAAATTACAGTTAATTTAATATTATTTATTCATTCATTCATTTTGATTTCTTAAAATGTATTAATGGGATAAACCTATCAGAGATCAATGATTCAATACAATAGCAACTGTCAAATTTTACAACCAGTCTTGGTGTAACAACTATGGTGTAAGTGCACTACACTGATTTTCTCCTGGCCAAACTTTCACAGAAATAAAATGCTGCTTGAGCGAGACATTAAATGTCAATTACATGTCAGGACAGCCTAATACTGTGATGTTGACCAAATAAAGCAGAGAAGTGTGACAGGAGTCTGGTGGAAGGATTTATTGAAGATTTTTTCACTTCGTTCCCCAATTTGTCAAAAAAATCCCTGTCACTGTGAGAAGTCTGAAATAGTGACTACAAAACTTGCCAACACTTACACACATACACCCATGAATGAAACAACAGTTATAATCCAGATAAACTGTTTGTACTGTAATAGCCTGTTGAAGGAAAGGTTTGGTATTTTTGACATAAACATGAACTGTTTTGTTCCCACAATAATGGCATGCTGCTCATCAACCCTGACGGTTCCTTTGTTGAATAAGGCTTTACTCTCTTTTTCCACAACAACTTTCCTTCCCAGGACCCAGGAAGGTTACTATAGAGGTAAATGGTACATAAGCGCAGTAAGTATCCAAAGTGACAGGGTGTCAGTTTAAAAGAATCCTTTGTCTTTTTGAGGGGTATTTGTGATTAAATTAAATTTGTCAATAACAGACACTTTTAACAGGGAACCATTTTCTAGATAATTGATAGAAGAGGTGAGTCTTAATGTCACAAATGGGGCATAGGAGGGACAACAAGCATTTAAAAAGGTATGAGGAAGTACTGGTAAAACTCATCAAAACAGTATATGCAAGAATAGTATTGTGTCAATAATTGTGGGTAGTGTGTCAAAATCCTACTCAATTAAGAGTGGAAGTACAGAGCCAAAAATGTGCTTAAGTGAATTAAAATGGGGTACATTTTCATTTAAATGAAAAGACTTTTTGCTGGTGTGTGATGTGATAAATGAGCACAGCCAGGGTCTGTTTTATTTTACACTGTGAATGTAGTAAGGAATAAAAACAATAATAAAATTTATGGCAACTCAACTGATTGGCATGATGATTTTTCTCATAGAGATATATTTTATACTTTGACCAATGAATATCTAAACAATTAGTTTAACAATTAAAAAATAAAAATTAAGTACAGTAACTAAGTAGTTACTTAAGTATTTTCCACCCCTGTATGTAAGGAATCTAAAGACATAAATCAACTGAGAGTTTTGCATCTTTAAAATAGACATTTTTAGCCTTGTGTATATACACACATACACATACTTGCACAATATTAACCTGCCCATACACAGACTTCTGGTGAACAAATCAAATGACAATAATACCAGGGAGCTCATGTTTGACATAGTAAAATGCATCTACATGAACTTTGTGTGCCCTACAGTATTGTTTATGTCTATATAAACAGAGAACAGTGCTGTCTCAGTCTGCTACTGTTGTGGCTGGATGCAGCTTGACAGTTTCTGAACAAATGTAAACATATATTCAGAGCATATTTCAGATAATTTACAATTTGATATTGCTCGTCTTTCACAGTAACAAGAGGTGACTGAAGTATAAAGTATATTCCATGCATTTGCTTTTTCACAGTGGTAGTTTGTGACAAAAAAGTTTTGCTTTGGTAGCGTTTAAAGAGATTATTTAAAGTGAAGAGCAGCATAAACAGTAAAACAATTTGAAGGGTTAGCCACTGTAAGCCTCCTCATGACACATGCTGTAAAAAATCAATCTCAGTCAGAGTTGACAGCATGCCATTAACTCTGAAAAACTCCAAAAGCAGCCATGTACAAACCACATCCTCAAAAATACCAGAGTTCCTCAATTTCCAGGGTTTATAAAATATACTTTCTGTCTGCAATATGATGACCCTAGATTATGAGTGGAGGCTGCCAAAGGTGACTAATTAACAGTACTGTTTAAATATTTTGTTACACAACACTAAGCAAATAGCTACACAGAAGTCACTCAGATGTTAATCCAGCCTTTTAGTAATTTCAAAGATCAGTCTCTGTTTTCTCTCTCAGATATCTCTCCTACTGTGTAGCTCAGTCCACTTCCCATATAAGGTTAAGCCATAAGGAGACAACCTGCATCTTAAGCTACTCAATCTGGGTCATGGGTAAGGGAGAGCATTTCTCTTGCTATTTGCATGCAATTATTTACCCAGACATCTGAACCAAACACACATATAAAGCCCTCTCAGGGCTGGCATTCCACTGTTTAGCTGCCTAGTCCAGAGGGTACCATGCAGTACAACAAAACCACCACTCCAGGACCTTGGCTTTGATCATTTTGATTATGAATGTCACGTTATTTACACTGTCAAATACCTTATCAATTGAGTGGAAAAAGTGTCCCTGCAGATGTTATGCAGGCTAGGAGAAGATTGCTGGCCAGATACTAAGCACCCTTTCCCACAGACCTAGATCAAGCAGTGCAGAGTTTATTATTCAGAAATGGAGAGCTAAACTGAAGGATCTGGCTGATTCCGTACCCCACACTTGTTCACAAGTAGAGCTGCTTTTTTTCCTTAAAGGCGCTTCTCCACATATGTTAAACTGCAAACAGAAGTAAGCGTAACTAAAGCACAGTCATCACTGATTAATATCAAAAAATAGTAACCATGTTTAAAAGATTAGCCAAAGCTGGGCTCAATATTTAATGGAAGCAGATTTGTAAATAGGTTCCTTATTGTGTTGAGTGTTTTTGGGTGGTCACAGCATTCAGTGTAAACATAAAAAGAGACCACACTTGCATTTCTTGTCTGACTTGCTTTAAGATTGCTGAAAGTTTACCTTCATGTGACAGTCTTGTGAAACAGGCAAACAGTCTCTGAGTCTGGTTTGTCACTGCAAACAACTGCTGCTGCAGTTGCTGGAGCTACAAAACATCTCTAACGCCTGCTGTGTTTAACCCTACTCCACTCAAGTCATTACAAAAGCACTGTAGCTGTAGATGCCAAATACATCATTATTTGTTTAGCCATCCAAAAACTACAGTGTTTTTCTTTAACACTGAATCAGTTTCACAATGTTTATCTATGAGCAGAGAGTACAGTGTGAGAAGGTGGACTTACTCTGCAGAGGTTTTGGGCAGCGTGTCACATGAGCTATAGCTGACCCCGCTGAAGGCCTCCTTACAGGGCAATGTCCTCACGCTCTCCAGCCAGTCTCCCATAGTGCTGAACGAGGCCATGTCTGTGCTGTTCCGGTCCAAGAGCAGGTTGACCGGCCTAAAAGAGACAGACAACAAGTTCTCTTACTGGTTCTACAAATGTTATTAATCTTGAATAATGCAGATCAAGTAAGTCAGTATGCATGTTCCTAACCTACACCTATCCACTGTAGAATAGACCACCAGACAATACATTTCATTATAGCGCTCCAGTAGACGCTGCACTAGTTTACCCTGAGGTCAGGTTACCACCCTGAAGAAGATGTCAAAGGGTCTGCAATTCACATCAGGCCTGAACAACGTGACTATTGAGCAAACAACCTCATAAAAGTGCATGCAGCACAGAGCAAACACATTGGGCCAAAATATCCAACTGCTACACTGGCTTACAGGGTCTCCATAAGGAAATACCTGTGGAGAAGAGGGGCTGTTCTCCTCCATCCATGTTATGGAAAACATTCCCTGGCGAAATCCAATACATATTGGAATGTTTATTTTATTGTATAGCCAACTCTAACTATTTCTCTGCTTGTTTCCAATGTTTATGTGCAGATCTGAAGCACATTTATGAGAAAAACGTTGAATCGGTCAATAAATCAATGTGATCCTATAGACATGAAAATTGACAGCACTACAAAAAGTACTACCAACTACATGTACAACTATGAAACATTTAATGGTTTATTGGCATGTTAACGACTTCTTTTATAACCTAATTACATTTAAATATGTTGTAAATTCTGCCTCAGCTGAGAAATATTCCAGCTAAATTAAACATTTCATCAAAACAGATTTGCCTGTTCATTTTGGCTTTAAATATTAAATCTGCTCAGATCTTTCGTTGAATGAAACCCCCCAAACTCTGCTTTCAATATTCAATTATTCAGTGTTCTAGTGACTTTGTCTAAGTGTATGTGACCAACAACATTAATTTGATTAAATTGATTAAATTGAATATTTTGGTCTGTGAAAATATGTCAATGCAAAACGCAATTTTCTTACACAAAGGTCTGTTTTAGACGAGTTCAAATCAGGTCTCAGTGGCTCCAAAGGAACAATGATGGGTGTGCTAACAATTCAGCCAATGTTATAAATACCAAGGTTGATGCCGGGCTAAGGAAAAACAGCATCTGCAATGTACAGCCCAGGGACAAGAACACCTGATCAAAACCAGGGGAATAGAGCGTAGGAAATGAGATTATGGTCCCTCTGGAGATGTCTAATAATAGCAACACAAATAAACAAATTATAATACCAGGAAGTACACCCTCCAGTCACATGTTTCAATGGCAAATTTCAGACAATTATTTAATGGCAGAAAAGTCTAAGCAGTGCCGGCTGGTCACTGACATCAAACGTACCAAGGCTATCAAAGAAAAAGGTGAAAACAGAGACTTCCATATATGTTCAAGAAAACAAAGCAGAGGATGGGGATCATACATCAAAGACCGTCCCTAGAAAATAAGTGGCATTCAATCTAAGACTTCCCCTAAAGCAGAACACTGAAGCCTTGAATGAATATCTGTGGAAGACATGTGTGGCTAATTTGTATTGCAGTGTGCGGTTTGGAGATCTCTGCAGGATTTTTCAAATGACATCTCTACTGTTGTAAAATGAGCTGCTTAAAGCAGAGTCTTATGGCAGACATCAGGTTATCAAAAGACAACAGCACACTGAGCTTGTAGGCTCACTAGCAGAGGATTTGTGTGCTGAACAGATGATCTCATTTTTTTTTATCTCCGTAGGCTAAAACTGGAACAGAACAAGTTTCCAAACCATGATCCACTGAGGGTATTGATCTGAACGCATCACTCCAAGCTTTGCCCTTAACCTACAGAGAATACAAGTAAACTATGGATGACCTCAGTCTTTTTGTTTTTTGTTTTGATGCAGAGGTTTATTTTCAGACTTGTGCTGAATTCTCACCAAAACACATAAGGCACTGAGGGAAGGTTGAACATGAAAAGAAACATCTTTGTTGTTGGAAATGTAAGTGATAGCCTAAACCCCTGTGTCTCAAAAACTGCTGGCTCCTCCACTCAGAGCATTCTCTCTGCACGACTGCAGCAGACACGTGGGAGAGGAAGAGGGGTAAACACTCTCTCCTCTGTCTGTTCTCTTGCTTTCTCTCTCTCCCCATTGGTGTACTGACCTCTAAATAACTGCGGCTGCATAGGATCTTGTTTTTAAAGCTCTCAGGGGAGAGCATAGGGGAGGGAAGGACTTTGCCCCTCTTCTTCACGGGAGAGACATCTGGGCAGTTTCGTCATGGACATGAACACACCACTGGCTGTGAAGGGAGCAGGGTGCCTGCGCCATCTCTAAGCCCGGAGGTGCCCACATTTCACCTCCTGCTGTCTATACAGCACTGTGTATCTCTCTCGTCCCTCCGGCTGAGGGTCAGTCTACAGGGCCTGGGGTCTGGAGCTGGAGCTGCCTGCACTGCTGCTCTATTAGCACATACAGCATGTAGATAAATGAGGTGCATGAGACCAGGCGCAGCTGCGGCTGTAGTCCAGCAACGTCGGCACCTCGGAGCGTGTCTAGCTCAGAGAGCAATAAATCACCTGGACCTGCTGCTCTCTGGCCAGCCGTGTTAAAAGCCAATCAGAAAAATTACAGGCAAACTCCCTGGGAACTATTTGCACTTTCTTAAGAAATCATTAGTCACTGTTATGCACTCAGACATCTTCATAATAAAATAGCTCACTGTTACATTGCATATATCAACACCGCATAGGAAACAGTTGGTTATTTAGTGACCTCAGCCCTGCAGTATTGCACCACATAAATAAAAATGACCATTTCTAAACAGATAGGAAGTGTAAACGTGAATGTCATCTTTGCTTGAGGACAAGTATGATTCAAACTGAATAACTCAAACAACAATATAGATTGCATCCTGGAGACTGGAGGAGCAGGAAGCCAGTGCCTGTTTATTGCCCACTCTGTCTGTCTGTCTGAAGACAATTACTGCAAACTAGCTCCAAAAACAAACACGTCGCGTCCAGCAAAAATAATCTCCAGAAAATACTGATGTTGTATATACAATAGATAATGGGGCACAATGACCAGTGGCCAGATGGAAAAGATGGAAATGCGTATATGAATCAGAAGGATGGACGTAAGTCTGTGAGAGGAAGGGACCGTTTCCTCCTGTTAAGGTTCATGTGAAAGCTCTGCGCTGATGAGCAGGATGTGACACAGAGCAGAACAAGAGTGGGTGGTGGTTTGTAAAGAGAACAATGTTCACCGCTGAGCTGCTCCCTCTGGATGCAGTGGGTGGATGAACCATCCATTACCTGGAGGCGGTGTTGGCTGTGATCTTCAGACTGCTAGGGTTACGGATAAGCTTGTCCAGGATGCTGACAATCTGCTCAAACTTGGGTCGGTTGTTCCGGTCCTTTTGCCAGCAGTCCAGCATTAGCTGGTACAGGGCTGCAGGGCAGTCCATGGGTGGGGGAAGACGGTAGCCTTCGTCCACTGCCTTGATCACCTGATGCACAGAAGAGACATCGCAAAGGTCACTGCAAAGCTGAGGTCTATATTTCAAATGCCAAGTTTATGATGTAGAGAAGTGCAACTTTATTGAACTATTTTGTCAATTTCCTGTCTTAGTCTTTTTTCTACAAATTTCTCCCTGGCTTGCAGGCAGACTGAGTGAAGCTGGATGAAAGCAAAGCAGATTTGCTTTCTTCTTAGCGACAACATGAAATCAACTGTCTCTTGAGAGCACCAGAACTAGCAATGTCTAGCAATGTTGTCCTTTCTTTTGAACCATTGATCATCAAAGCTGCAGTAATTGAGTCAAAATAAACTCTCGTGGCCCCATTTCTGCAGAGTGAAGTCATTAAGCTATAACAATGAGGACACTGCTTTGAGTAAGGGCAGCAATACAGGCACAGACTACAGACAGTAAACAGTTTCAAAGTGATAAGCGATTTCTTAAATTTAATACCAGAATCTTTAAGCTCTGACCGTTCGTCAGCAGGACCTCTGTATGTTTGGCTTAATATGCTCTCCCTCCTCTCTGTCTCTGCATGCCTGAAAGCATTCAGGTGACATTCTCTGTTGAGCCAACCGTCAGTAACAGGTTTCGTTTTGCCACCTGTCCCCTCAACGCCTCACTTCCTCTCACCGCAGGAAGTTCATTAGTTTGCCAGGCTGATGCTGCTCTACTCACATCCTGATTGGACATCTCCCAATAAGGCCTTTCTCCATAGGACATGACCTCCCAAAGTACAATGCCATAGCTCCACACGTCGCTAGCTGAGGTGAATTTGCGGTAGGCGATGGCCTCTGGTGCCGTCCACCTAATTGGGATCTTGCCACCCTGGGGGAAGACAAGTGCAAGAACAGGCTCTCGTTAGCTCTTGAATTCTTTCATGTTTTGGGTGGCTTTGAATGAAGAACATGCAAAATAACATGTGGTTAAATGAGTTTAAGGTTAGCATAATATACAGACATGCTAATACTGTGCAAAAGCCAGGAATACTCATTGCAAATTACAGTGCTAAATCTGGGTAATCTGCATGTAGTCACACATTTTAAACAGGCCACATGTAATGTGTCACAGCATTCAGTGAGGCAGGGAGGAATGTCAAAGTGTTATGCATGCAATGAATAAAATTACGGTGTTGACGTAATCTCTGCAGAGGTAGCATTAGCATTTGTTAGCGTTTATACAGGACCAAGCTGCAGAGCGTCAGAGCCTGTGCGAGTGTGGCTGAGACACAAGACTCGAGCTGCACTGATCCTGGTGTGGGTTCTTAACTCTGGCTGGGCTTCTTTCATCTGCAGAGTGGCCTCCCTGAGGAGCTGCGCTGTATTTACCCAGCTCAGCCTGAGCTCGCAGGCAGGCTGCTGGAGTTACTCTGGGCTCAACCCTCATTGCTGCAGTGAGGGTGGAAAGAAAGAGTGCCGGGGGGAGCCAAAGCCAACCGGCTATCCAGCCAAATCACACAACTCCTGCTCTGCTTTCTCCAAACACACAGACCTCAAAAAAATAAACCCACTTGCATGCAGGTTTCCCCAGTGAGCACACATAAACAGTCCCAGCTCTCCAAGCACCAAAATTACCAGTAATAAATGTACAATTTGACATGCCCACCATCCACTGTCCTCTGGGTTTAATAGAGGGAGAAGGTGGAAGTAGCCACCATCCTCATAGATTTGGAGCTCTTGTAGCCAAGCAATGAGGCAACATGTCAGGGAAGAGAGTGGTGGGGGGTCTCACCGTTACTCTAAAGCCATATATTTTAAGTGGAAGCTGGAATGCTGCTAGCTATAAGCAAATGGTGGGGAACATCTTTGGTTTCCTCTGAGTAAAAATGCAATGAACTCCCTCTCCTCAACACATGCTGTATATCAGCAAGGTGTGGGGTAAATCCTTTGCTCTAAATTAGGCAGTCATGCAATGGATTTATGTTCACCTTATCGGCCTCAGAATTTATTTATATGGTGGCTATCTGGTCTGCAGCAGTGAGACTTCTTATGCGTGCGAGAGTGACATATATGGTCATTAATTTGCGGAGTTATTCACAGAGAGGCTGGCTGAGGGGAGATAGTGAGGTGAAAGCTACTTCAGTCTCATAGCAACTAACCCCTAGAAAAGGGCTAGGAGAGCAGATGGATTTAGCTGTTTTTATGTTCATCTATTCACTTGTAAACAAACAACCCTGGACTGCTATGTTAAGGGACTGGCCTGTTGCTGTGCTGAGCTTGCTGTAAATCTTTCATGAATGACAGGTTTAGGAATTCATGACTGGAACAAAAGATGGTGTTTTTCAGTTGGAGCGCGTGTTGATGTAAGCTATCACTCACTCTTGTTGTGTAGGCAGCCTCGGGGTCATCCTCAAGCACCCTGGACAGGCCAAAGTCAGAAACTTTGCACACCAGGTTGCTGTTGACCAAGATGTTGCGGGCAGCCAGGTCTCTGTGCACGTAGCCCATGTCTGAGAGGTATTTCATACCTGACGCTATACCACGCAGCATGCCCACCAGCTGAATCACTGTGAACTGAGCATCATGTTTCTGACAGAGAGAGAGAGAAAGAGAGAGAGAGAGAGAGAGAGAGAGAGAGAGAGAGAGAGAGAGAGAGATTTATTTTCAAGGAAAGGAGAGCGTGAGACACAGCAAGAGAGTGAGGGGAAAATAGAGAGTGAGAGAGTGAGGGAGAGAGTGAGGGAGAGAGTGAGGGAGGGAGAGAGTGAGGGAGGGAGAGAGTGAGGGAGGGAGGGAGGGAGGGACAGATGGAGGGTGAGGGAGAGAAAGAAACAGAGAAACGATCAAACAAGGTGTTTCATATCTATGTACTATAAAACTACTCTAGGAAAAATATTGGAAAACTGATGAGTTCATACATCAAACCATGTCTGAGCATTCCAATGACATTTTACAGAGCTTATTGTGGATGACATCTCAGTTGCCTGAACAGGCAGATAGCTGAGAAAATTCACCACCGAGCGGATAAAACTAGAATCAGATATGATCCATTCAAGAGCTGCTTGCAAGTTGTTACAATTTGAAAATACAAATAAGACACATACACAAAAACAGATCAGCGGGTGCATATCTGAACTGTTTTCCTTCCTTTTTTTCTGAGCCTCACTGGCAGCCTGCTGCTGTTTACATTGGCATGTTTGAAAAGGGCTTTTATATGTGGAGAGGTGTGCTCAGGACTCGGAGAGGAAGCTCTTCAGGAGGAGAGGAGAGACAGACCGGATGAGCGAGATAGCATTGATTTGTCAGCAAGCTCGGGAGAAAGAGCCTTCTTTACTAAAAACAGGCAAACTGTACTCTCAACAGACGGCCAGTGTGAGAGATGCTCCTTTTCTCTCCGTCTCTTTCTGTTTCTCCTTCTCTGCTGCCTTCTGTATTTATCCCTCTCTTTCTATGCGAATAAGAGAAAGCAGGGAGCTGTGTTTATGTACTGCATACAAAATAAGTTTAGATGAAAATAAATCCTGGACCACCTGGAACCGACTGGAGCTCGGAGAGGTTCAAAGTCTTGCTAATAATAGTGACATGAGCAGTGGCGAGGAAACGCATTCAGGGGAGGATGACAGTTTTCTTTGATAGAGTGCAGGCCACGCTGAAATGCGCAGGAAATTGCTCCAGAACACTGCAACTGTTCTCTCTTTTTTTGGAAGTGAGATACTGTGCAGGCGCATATGGAATACAGTTCAGATTGGTCCTGCTAAATCGAGCCTGTCTCTGATCATGATGTTTTAATGCTATGCTAATTTCAATCATACAGAGCCTGTATTTAACTGCAATTGCAGTGTGTAACTCCAGTGCTCTCCCTTTCCTTGTCCTGAAGCAGAGGTTTTTCATAACAACTCTGTACTCTGCAAAATGGACAAGACAAGGCATATAGTAAATCCTAATTTGTTTTACTGCTGCACTAAGTGCGATGTACTCTGAGTATGAGTAGGAAAAAAGTCGCAACATGTGCAATAAATTTGAATGTGATCATCTTGTTCTACAAATAGCAGATTGTCTGGCATGGCCCCGGTGGTGGTAAATGGTTGAAAACTGACAGAAAGGCTGGTAAATTCATATGTCAGGTGTAGCATTGCCAAGGCTGGATTGCGGCAGCCAAAGGTTAAGCTGACCCATTTAATGAGCTCATTAGTGCGTTTATCAGCACTTTTCAGATGGGCCGTCCCCCTGCATGGCACACGTGCTACACAGCCTGTTGTTTGCTTGTTTGTTTTCGCAGTGCTTATGTAGCCATAATGAGAAGTCATTTGAAGGACAGAGCATGCCCAGTCTGTTTAACTGGCATGGCTGGGCAGGCAGGCAGAAGGCCAGTCCCCCCACACTGTCACAGCCTGTACATTTGCAAATCTGTGCCCCCTGTTTCTTTTCTCTAATAGGAGCCTTTGCTTTTTGTGAGTGAATCAGGCCGTGGTGCAGATAAGCTTGAGTAAACCAGTGACACCTAAAAGCTTCTGAAACACAGGTAACATCAGGATCTTTTTTAAAGAAGACTGACTCTTTTTTCTATGGAAAAAAAAGACACAAATTAAGACACACTGATCACTTTACATAGTAACTGCCACTGTCTCCCAATCAGTTCTCTAAATAGCAAATAGATACAGAAGTGAAGCATCAGACAGCAATTTGTGACTGTTTGTGCAAGTGAAAGTGAGATGTTCTAAGCAACAGAGAGAATTTGGAGCTAGCTGTGATGAGCAGGTACTCTGCAGGGATGTGGGGAAGAAGCGGAGGGGGAGAGAGAGAGAGAGAGAGAGCAGGAGAGGGAGAAGGGTATTTAAATCAGTTTAAGATGAGACCTCTGCGCCGTTCCTGTGATCATACATAATGGAGGCTCATTAACCGCTCTCAGCATGTCATACTCACTCGTAGGAAGCTGTCCAAAGATCCATTCTCCATGTACTCTGTCACTATCATCACTGGCTTACCTGGGGAGAGAGAGAGCGTTAGATAGCGACGATTTGAGAGAACCGAAGGCATTTTCTGAAGCTTTTGCGGTGTGTTGACTGGAGCTGGAGCTGATTTGAGCAGGGTTTGCTAATTTGAAAACTAATGAGCCATTTTGTGACATTTGAAGAAAAAATTACATACATTTGGATTAGTTGAAACTGTGGCTTGTTATTTCAAGATGTATGCCATAGTCATTATGCTGTAACTTTGCAAAGTTATTTCTATAATGACAATGTTTTAGTTGAGATGAGATTTAGCGCTTTCAGTGTGGCTACACATGGGTATTATAAAAAAAGGCCCAGGTTTAACAGCTGCGTTTTTTACAGGTTGGAGGAGTGAATTGGTCAGATTGGAACTGCAAACTGGGCCAGCCCTGGAGCTTTCAACATGTTTGAGCCCCCATGACAATAGCAGGGTTCGCAGTACTTGGGCGCACTTCTTCACACGACACCTCCGACATGGTGGGGTCAGTCGTCATAACCGTGACTTACTGTGGCCTTGGGTTCAAGAGCGCTTCCTGCAGGATGAAAAGAGCCTCTGGCTGAATTTAGAGGGCCCTCAAGGTCAGCTGTCACTGTCTGACAGCTTTATTCCCTCTCTCCGCTGGCCATAAATTACTGCTTTTATCATCTGCACCTTATTTCAGTGCCTGTTGAAGGTTCATGTACAAAAAAACGTCTTTAACCCATTAAACTTTGCCTAGGAGATGGTTTTATCACCATCATACTAGATTTAAAAGGAAACACCTATAATATCAGCGCTGCATATCGGTGCTGTCCTAACAAACCCAAATCTCCAAAATGGTAACTTCACAGGAGAAGACACAAATCCTCTTCTCTTTTAATGTGAATGTAGCAAGGTCTTATTTAATTAAAGCTACACTACGTAAATTTGGGAAATTTGGAGACCTCACTGATGGAAATGTGCAATTGCACGCAGGGTTCAGAAGAGCACTGTTTTGTAACCTTGGTTGTGTTTCCAACCCTTTCTCTGAGCAGATGAGCCTGATGTTTATGAGTGTGTTTAAAGAGTACACAAAGAGAGAGATGTGTCTTCTGAGGATGTAAGTGAATGATCTACTGTTGTGATCATATCTTCATCAGCATAATGTTGATTTTGCATTTGAGACCTAAACACTGAATCAGAGCTTCTTTTTAAGCCTGTGTGTGTGAAGTTAAAATGTAAAGATGTATGAACTCCAGCAAAAACTCCAGCAAAATCTGACCAGATGCCTGACTTTTTCAATTATTATTTCAGGCCTTACAGGGTGACTTGCAGCAGTGCACACACACAATATGTTAGTGTTTTCTTGTCTCTTGGCTCAGTAATACTACTTCTTTCAATTTTAACAAAAAAAAGCTTACATAGTGCAGCTTTAAGTAATTTTTGTACCATTTCTGAAAGTCTATTCATCATGATATGTTCACACAATATAAAGAGCAGCTGCTGTGTTCAAAGAAAAATGCAAATAGAAAAAAACAGAGATACATGGTTTTGATATGACTGAGACGATTTCCACATTCAACATAATAAATGGTTCTGCCGTCACTGCGGGATGCCAGACACTTTCTGACCACGTATGCACAAATTCAGAACAGACCAAACACACCCAGACATTCAAAATGGAATCCAGATTATGAGGAGTTTATTTCTGATATCAGAATCATTCGTCCCCTCTGGGAAACAAAAAGACACAACTGAAGTGTGAAGGTCTGCTCTACCTGTTTGCTGCTCGCAGCGGTAGCTTGAGACAAAAAACAATGGCTGGCTTTGATCCAGCATGTTAAAAAAAAATGGGCATAATGCAGTAACTGCAGTAAGAGATTATCTGCTGAAAGACAAAAGGTGATTAAAGTCAAAAATTGGTGGTTTTTGCCCCAGCATGAAAAGATTTAAAACACCTTATAATGCACAAACTAAATTTGATGTGGGATGTGAACCACTTAGTTTCAAAGTTTCAAAACATAACATATATGGAAATTAGTTGGCAAAAACAGCCTGTTTTTAATTCGTTTTTACAATGTGAAAAAAAAAATCAACAAATTTACATACTATATCCAGCCTACAGTAGTTTAGCTCTGCTCATTCACATGAAGTTATAAGGAGTGTTTCAGTTTGGACTGTTTTTTAATTGAATGAAACAGGCACAACTGGCACAATACAGGTCACCTAATTAGAACACAGGTCATTTACATATATCAGTTTTAAAGTCACAGGTACAACAGCAGCCTGTTTATTTCTAAAGGAGGTTGGAGAATGGTAATGTAAAAATGAAATATGACTGTTTTTGGTACAAAAAGCCACACAAACATCTTAAGCAGACTTCAGGGAAAATAAATAAAATACAAGAAAAATGCAGGAATTGCCCAGAACAGAGCTGTTACCGCAATATGCTTGGCTGACAGATGGTCTTATTTCCTCTCTTTACTCTTCCAAACATGTGCATGTAGCAATGTGAACGGCACACATCTGGCCACAGAAGACCTGAGCTGGAGCTGACAGCACAGCACAGTGATAAACGGTGTTTATAAAATACACACAATCAGCACGAGCAAAGTGGACCAACACGGCCTGCTTAATGAAAGATGTTGAGTCATACACGGCTTGCTATCTCGGTGGGAGCTGTTTAGACCCCAAGGTTTACTCCACAGAGCAGACGATCAGTCCAACCTGTTACATGTCAAGATAGGTCTGCCCACCTCTTTCTCCAAACACGAGGGCCTTTTTTACTGCAAACAGTCAGAGACACTATTAAACACACTCTTCCATTTCACTGAGCTGCGATAGATAGGTCCTTTTATTTCATCTGACAGCTCTTGTGGTTTCTGATGATAATAATAATAATAACTCTCTTGCTGTAAATGTTTGATTCTGAAACTCAGCTCATAATCAGTATCGCAGCCTCTGTGTCCCTGTGAAGCACCAATTGCAGCTCCACAAATATTTTGCCAAATGCAGGGCCAAAAGCAGCAGGTTAAATGGGGTGTGAAAGTCTCTGGATTATTAAGAATTAACAGGGCCGAGTTAATAAATCACGTCACGTCACAGGCTACAGGAGACGCATGCCAGCCTCCCCTACAAACACTGCCAAAACCCTGCACACCAGAGCTGCTTTCAATCACACACATGTGCTGAATGTACAGCCCGTCCCACTCTCTCCCTCTCTCACACACACACGCAGACACTCAGTCTCAACATCAGTAACAATCGACAGTCATTTACACTGAGCTTTCTTATTATTTACAAGCCTAATAAGTGTAGACCATTGTAAGATTTATTAGACAAACATAATCCTCATTTTATGAGGAATTGTAGACATGAAAGGAAATTTTTGCATTCCTTTCTTTGCAGCGTTCAAGGCAAAATGAATCAAAAACTTGGCCAAGAGTTTGAAGAGATTTTTTTTTTTTCTGTTAGACTTCGCCATGCAAGTTGTCTAATCTGCAAAACCTGAATTTTATGACAACCACTACGCAATACTGTAAGTAACAACAATAAAAAAATAAAGAAAAAAAACAACGACTGGTTTTAATCTATTATGTTCATATTAAAAAATGCATACTATAACTGCAGCGAGAGATTGTGCTACTGAAAGACAAGAAGAGATTAAAGGAGAAATTGGCATTTTTTGCCCCAGTATTCACAGTGAAGTTTTCAGAGGAATTATAGACATAAAATTAACATTTTTTTCATTCCTTTCTGAGAACTGTGTAAGACAAAATGAATAAAAAAAATGAGTTTGAAGGGTTTTTTTCCCCCTTATTAGACTTGACCATGCAGGTAGCAGTAATTTTTTGACATTTACTTCACAACACAAAATGTGACCTGTGCAAAAGTTATGCCACATTTTATATTTTAGGTTTTATTTTTCCTAACATGTTTAACATGTTTAGTGCACAGAAATTGTGCACTAAAATAAATACCATATTTCAGTTTGTTCCTTGTAGAGGATGTGCTAATTTCACCAAGAAAATCAACAAAATGTAATTTGACTTGGGGTGTTCAAACTTTTGCATACGACTGTACACACACACACACACACACAAAAAAAAATAGAAAGTTGCATGACCACTACTACACTGGTTAATAAATGTTTGTTATAAAAAAGATTACGGCTGCTTAATTTTTTAAAGTCATTTGGACTTTGTTTAGAAAGGTTTTATTGCAGCAGTTTTATTATCTTGAGTCTAAGCTATTTCTTGACTGCCTCCATTCTTAACCGATGTGCAAAATGCTGGATTCAGTTATTACTTCAGTTAAAAGTGGGCAGGGCTATTTAACAAGCAGAAGCAAAGTCAAGGTTACGATGAAGTTTAATTGAAGCCCAAAGTTCAAAGCAATTATTTCTATATTCCATCTGACCATAACAATCACTCCATTAGAAGAAAAAGCCTAATCTGAAAAACTATCCCATTAAAGAGCCTCCTGAGAGGGATTGTGGTGTGGATTAGAGACAGAGGCTTTGATCATGCCAAATAATGGAGATTGATCTGCCGAGATTTACGACACCAGGTGAATTCTGTCTCTTTGGAAACTGGCCCAAGATTACAAGAAACAGGTCAATAAAACAGTGGCTTTCCCAAGGAGGGAATTTGCCAACTTCATGACATTCACTAATCTATAACTGGAAACAGCTAATATTTAATACAAGACCCTCCCAAAAGGGGCTTGCACTTAATATGCAGCTCGAAACCAAAACTCAAAAAGTTAAAGATGATAAATGAATCCTACACGTGGATTAAACACACCATTCTGCACCAGAGAGTCATTATAAGTTATCCTTCCAGGCTTAGTGAAAGTAAAACATTCATCTCACTCCCTTTAGCATGAGAATGAAAAATGGCATGAGGAAAAAATTATAATAGTTTAAACATGCACAGTGTAGCTGAAATGTATGGAAAGACACTCACTGCGAGTGACCACGCCTTCAAGTCTGATAATGTTGGGGTGGTCAAATTGTCCCATGATGCTGGCCTCGCTCAGGAAGTCCCGCCTCTGCTTCTCTGTGTATCCGGCTTTGAGAGTCTTAATTGCCACACAGATCTCTTTCTTAGAGGGCAGTTTCAGACGGCCACTGCACACCTCCCCAAATTCACCTGCAAACATACAATTGTGGAAAAAAGTGTCTAAATAAATTATTTTTCATTTTGATAAATATTCATATCATAAGTGAACCACAATTAATCTATCTCTGTCATAAGATAAGTGCTGAAATAAAAGATTAACTTGGAGATCTGGATATTTTTGAAAGCACCGTGAGACAGAAAAAGGCATTAGTGTCTTGCTGTTCATGTACAAATTATGTATTCCAGTGTCTTTAATTTGATTTATGAGGCACACTGCTATGCAGGTGGGATTTTCATAAGCTGCAAGGCCACTTCAAAGTTCTCTGTAGGAAGCCAGATACCTCTACAGAGACGGGTGGTGACAGAGCCCTGGATAGAGTTTTGGGCAAAGATGATGTCATTACACAGCTATCCAGTCAAGAATCCTGTTCTACTTACGTAATTTAATGCACAATTATTTCCCATGCAGGTTTGAAGAAAAGGGTGAAGTCCTGGGTTGATATCTGGAAAAACTTCACTGGAAAATTTGCAAGCTGTCTAAACAGCCGCCCCAGTAGACTTGGCCAGTGTACAGACAATACCGACCATCCTGAAGTTTTAGCTTTGCCTAAGAGTCTACAGAAGTCAGGCTGATACGTGATGCAAGTTGCATCTTCCATTCACAACAGCTACAGTAAACAGTCAAAGATTATTTTATCACTAGTAACCTGCAAATAAATCTTTTTTACTTTCAAATTGTCACAAAATCCAAGACATTTTTTACAATTACATGTAACAGTATAGCATCAAAAACTGTTATGAGGGAGAAAGCACTTATCTGTAAGTCATAAAGCCTGATGTTTGTGTAATGGCTTTACAGTGGCATCTTAAGAGCAAACCTATAGAGCATTGTCCCATTATTTGCCATGTTCTCTTGCATTGGTCTGTGCAGCTATAAATCACAAGGCATTATCTTGATGTGTGCTCTACTGTTTAAGACATCAGGAACGTGGAGTGCCTGGGAGAGAACGAGCTACAGGGGGTGAAAAATAATATCCCAGCTGGAGGTACGCTCCGCTTACCCATACTCCCCTGCTTCGGCAGCAGGCACTCTATTAAAGGCAGTGAGGCGGTGAGGATGAGCACTGGGAGCGATGCTCTCCCCATCTCACTACTCACAATCAGAAGCACACACTTCCAGCTGAGGTGCTAAATGATTCTCATTTACATTGCCTGCCACATCTGTTATAAATGCATCCTGTCCTCTTGCAGGTAACGGTGTATTATAGCTCGAGAGATTGAGGGACGACTCTGCATACCTGCACCCACTACTTTGTCGATGGCGATGCAGGATGCATCAAGTTCTTTGGCGAATTCGTGCACCGCCTGACTTGGGTCTTCATAAGTGTGCGGATCCACATAAGTTCTGATACCAGGCAGTCGCACTGAAATGAGAAATTGTTTGTTATCAAAACTGTTATAAAGGTAACTGGGGAGCTTGGTTTTCATCACTGGTTACATTATCTAATTGAATATGAAGATTCTCTGTACTAACTGATATTTAGAACTTAATTACAAACATCCATTCCAAAATTGGAATGCAAATGAAAACAGAAAACAGCAATTTATAAACCACCTCTACAGGCATTTAAATGAAAACAGTACAAAGACAAGATATTTAAACGTTTTACATAATCAATTTCATTGTTATTGCTCATTCTGAAAGTGATTCCAGCAGCACATTCCTTAAAATTTTGAGCACTGGCAATTTAAAACAAGAAATAATGTGAAATGTTAAAAACAAACAAACAAATAAACAAACTAAAAAACTGAAAGACTGAGTCCTTTATAAACAAGTATGAGTCGAAGCTCGCCACTTGTCTTTATAAAAATGCACCCGTGAGTAACCCTGCGGTTTAAGAACAACGTTCCTCAATTACTGATTGCAAGGCTTTTAGGTGTTTCACCCTCTACGGGGCATAATATCACCAAAAGGTTCTGGGAGTGTGAAGAAATATCTGTGCGTAAAGGGTCCAAAGGTCTGTGACTTTCAATCCCCCACACGGCACTGCATTAAAACCTTGGTATGCTTCTGTGGTGGATGTCTCCACACGGGCTTAGAGATATATATACACCTTTAGTTGCTGCATCTACAAATGCAACTTAAAACTGTACTACACACAGTGGAATCCATATCTCAACAGTGTCCAAAAACACAGAATCTTGACTTCTTTGGACTCAAGCTCATCTGAAATGGAGTGATATACAGTGGAAACGTAAGACCTGTATATCAGAAGAATGTTATAAAAAAAATCTGCTTTCAAAACTGCATTGATTGGTGTCTTCAACCCCCAAAATGCATATTAAGTGTTGTTAAAAGGAAAGATGATGTCAACATGCTCCTGTCCCAACTTTTTTGCAACATGGTGCTGGCAAAAAATTTAATTTAATTTAATTTAGAGCATATATTTACATATCATGTTCTTGTACATGTTCTCAATTTTCAATTTAATTTTCATGTTTAAATTTAATGTAGAACTAATCAATGCTTTTTGTTTTTATTAGTATTTCGCATATTGTTCCAACATTTTGGAAATTAAGGTTTGTACATGGTGATTAGCCTTAATGTAACAAAATAAAATTTTCACCCTTACAAGTTAAAGTCTCAGGAAAAGTTGAATCCTAGACTTTATAAGACACGTATACTTACAGTGGCCATTGCCAAAGTGAAGTCTCTTTTCGTCTGGATGTTTGGATTTGCTGTATCCACAAAACCTGCCAATCAGAATGTTGAAAGGTAATAATTAACGTCAAAGACATTTATGTGAGCCTTTTGCTACTCTACACTATGTTGGGCAACATGTAATGACTTGAGTAGACAAAAGTCAGAGCCAGGCAGGATCTGACTGTTTTGCTTTGCTATGAGGCATTACAGTATTTTGGGGTCTTATAATAAGCCAGAGATTTATGCACTCTTTCAACAGTGCAGTCTGCCAAGATCAGCCCCTCTGCATGACTTGACACTCTAGCTCTCACAGTGCCCGTTACGCTAAGTAAAGCAGAGGCAAGAAAAATAATACAGCTTCTGCCAAGCGAATCATCCAGAACTATATATATAGGCAGTTGACATGCAGGGGCATGATCTTCAACGTGCACATCTTCATCCGGAAGATCCGAGGGGTGGGGAGGAGTTGGGGGGGGTACAGCAAGGGACACATATAATGAGGAAGTGACAGCTTCAAGATGGCCACACTTAAGCCCTGTGAAGTTGTTGTGTGAGTGACAGACGGACCTGCCAATCACAATGTAGAGAACCACTGTGAGAAGGATGATGGCCACAGCAGAGGAGATAGCAATCAGCACCACCTGACTGTTCTCGCTGGAGATTGAAAAGGCTGTAAGAGAGAGAACGAGATGAATTAGATTGAATCAGATTACACTGAACTTACAGAGTAAGAAGTAAAATGTATCTTACTAAAACGTTCTTTGACAATTTTTAATGCACAGGTTTAAAAAAGAACAAGAACTTTCTTCACAGGGAACAAATATGCATGTGTGTTCCACGTTATGAACAGAGTGTAGTATGAAAGTTTTTTCTTCATTGCTGTTCAGTGCCAGGTTAAGTAACACTCAATTTAAATACTAAATCTAGGGCAACAAGTAGAAGACAGCCCAGAACACATTTGTCACCATCCTTTATCCCTCTTTTCATCCATTTCTGACAAATAACCATCATTTTATATAATTATCAAATCATATTTACTCCAAAGAAACCATATTCTCTTTAAATGACTTTTGACAAGCCACTAGACTTGAACTAAAGAGAAGGAAAGATCTGGCGACTGAGAATCAGGAACCCAAATTTAGAGCTTTTTCTGCTCAGATTAACAGATGAATAATGGGAGCTATCATCTCAGGAGGACTACGCCATCATTTTACATTTCACATTTGCTATGCATATGGAGGTCTACAGAGGCATGACCAGCTCAGTAACCTGCGGAGAAGAAAGCGACTGCCGCCTGCACTGTATCATTCCATTCCATGACTGTGCATTGATTTCCTATAAATGTTTCATTAGGAAGAAGGGCATAGGAAAAAAAAGGTTCTGCTCTGAAAACAGATATACAGTATATCAAATGCACACGCTACTCTATGTGGCTTAATGCTATAATCATGATGGGACCTTCCTGCCATCAATAGTGACATGGCCTGAGAGGCATCCAAGATTATAATGTAACTGAATATACATAACTAGTTTGTGTTTTTAAAATGCAGTGATATAAAATACTGTTTTCAGTGCCTCAATACTAAAGAAACTCCTTTTTCGCAGGATATGACAGTGTTTTTATGTCGATTCACAAGGGATTCATATAACCTGGGTATATATCTATGGTGTGTTTTATAGAAGATAAAAGGTGGTTGAATCTTTTCTGGAACAGGAGCATGTAGTCAAAAAAAAATGACTGACATTGTGCATTCGGATGGAACTAAAATCACTGAGGAACTGGTAAATGCAACATTACCCCACATTTAAAAAGAATCCCGTCCAAACAGTAGTTAAGACAGTTACAAAAATAGCAGTAGATAAAAGGCAATTTTGAGAAAAGCAACTGCATTCAGCACAAAGAACACAAAAATGTAACATGCTGACAGTACGCATGTTGGAAACGTACAAAGGCATTTACTGGATGCAAACAGAGCCCATGCTTCACTTCAAACATCAATGCCTTGAAAAAAGATCAAGGGATTTCTGCATGACTAAGAATCTTCAATTCTAACAATTATTATAGATTACTACAGGATACTACACACGGATTATAGATAAGATTACAAGAACTTTATATAGAGAGGAAATATTATACATTATTATAGCACTTATTGTTTACTGTATGCTTTTTTTAAGGGTGATAAAAAAGAAAAATAACCATAATGTTAGATTTTGCATATCTTCATAAACTTTAAAGCTAGTCTTATAAACCTTTAAAGTATCATCTCTTGTTAAGCAAAGTGAGCAGGTTGCATATAAGTAAACAGATATGCAAACAACACACTGTTCAAAGGTTTGGAATTTCAATTAAAAAACAATTTTTTAGATAAATGATCAAAATGTGTTCAGTATGCTAGTCATGTGTAGTTTTAAAGTTTAAAAAAACATTAGTAGGAAGCTAGGAAGTCTCTCAGAAAAATTGAAGAAATTGTAGATGTCCAGAATTATGAAAAACTGTGATCCTAAAATTACTCAGAAAGCCGTACAACAGCAAGAAAGAAATTACAATAAAATTTATTTTTGAGATAACTTGACCAAAATGATTGTAAATAGATAATTGCTAGGTGTGTAACAATGCACTCTGCCCACAATTTGAGAGTATTTTGAACAAAATTTGGAATAATTTGTGGAATAGTTTTACATTGCAATATCATGTCACGATGCATTATAACCCATAATAATTACTGTATATAGTAACAAAATCCTTGAAATACTGAACAAAACATCAAAAATGCACTTGGTGGCTAGTTTTTAGTATTAAACTCTGATCCAGAGGAAACTCAGCATGCCTATGAAACAACTGTCTAAACAATAGTTTTGTAGATCCACAGGCCATAAAGTTACTTTAGTACAGAAAAGGCCTGCACACCAATCAAAAAAGGCAGAAAATAGCATTAAAATAGCTCTTTAACAGGGAGAAACAAATTCAAACTATTTTAACCCTTTTTATTTAGTATGTGGCTTTTTCTGAACTAAATCTAATATTTATATATCAAGAGCTTCCAATGGGAGTGTAACACTTAATGCCCATTGTAATGAAAAATAAAGTGTGTAATGAGTCTTCAATAAGAAAAAAAAGTCCTAACTTTGTACCTGTGAACTCAGACTAACTCACAGACAGAATCATATTCTTGGTAAATATGAACCCTCTGTGCTGAGAGAAGGAGCTGTTTAGTGCTTACAATCTGGGCTGGTCTCAAACTCGAACTTGCGGCTGCTGCTGCCGTAGCCTGCTGCAGTACGTGCTCTGATCTGCAGCAGGTAACTGGTGTCAGGTTTCAGTCCATTCAGAGTGACATTGGTGCCCTTGGATCTCAGGATGGTGTAGCTGGTCTCTTGTTCCTGCTTCAGAAAACAAGAAACAGGAGAGAGCGAAGGAGAGAGATGTTAACATCACAGAGATAACTATGCAGCCAGTTGAGATGAGCAAATTCAGTCCTAATGAGAGCAGAGCACCTGTCCAGAGAGTATTTGTGTGGGTGGCGGGGGCCATTCAGCATCACATTGGGTCAGTCCCCCTGGGTTGCAAAAAATGTGTGCTCGTAATCAGGCACGTCCCAGACTGCTGGGGACAGTGCCAACTCAGCTTGATAAATTGCCACCTTTATTTTTTATGGCTTTTCTAAAGATCTCTGCAGTACAATGATCCTCTCTACTGTGCTTAAAAAAAAAAAAAACTACAGCGGATTTATGGGGCGTCTTTGCTTTCAACCCATTGTTTCCAGATGTGCCTCTGATGGGGTAAAGAGGAGAGCAGCAAAATGAACAGGGTGTGGAGCATTAAGCCATTGACTGTAGGGATTTCAGCAAAGCAGGATTTCCTGCTAACAACAGGATCACTCAAACTTCATCCTCCATAGTTGTGCTCATCGTCTATCAGCTTTAGGTCGAGGAAATGTCAGACTTGGATTCAATCAAAAAGTCCTTTGCATCTTGTGACATCTCTGACATTTTAAAACTACCACACTCAGCCATACTATTGTAATTACATAACCCCATGCTGGAGTAATTAGCAGCAAATAAGATTTCTGAAAATGCTTTTGAAGATTTTGCAAGCACTATTGAGTTTCACATCCAGACAAAACATACTAACTGATAAGTGCTGGTACACCATAACTGGCAAGTGTTACCAGATGAGAGAAAACTGTCTACAGTTACATACAGTGATTTGTTTTTGCATATACAAACAAATAATGCATATCAACTAAAGAAATCATCAGTGTACAAAAATGAATATACATTATTAACAAACTGCATGGTATAAATATGTATTTTCTGTTGTTCAAATGCATCTATACAGTAGCAAAACTGACTACTAAGGATTGCTTTGGGACTTGCACTGCAGGAATTCTCATACAAAAGCATACACATGCAGTATTACTTAGCAAAGTCCACAGACTAAACCAAACATCATGACCCAGGATTTGTCTAGATCCCCACTCCTTCCTCTTAACAAAGAGAAGAGGCCATTTCAAATCACCAGACTTTACACAGAAAACAGCGCAGAAAAAGCTCTCCAAACCAGCAAATGGACTGCATCAGGTTTTATGGTTCAATGAACACTTTAAAATAAATTCACTCTTGATGTCTGGCAAGACGAAACCAATACCCTCCATCGTATTGTATGTGTCTTCGTTTAAGTCATAAATCTTTTCACAGGTTGTCAGTGTTCACTGCTCACGACACCATGCGATCCCCTGGAAATCACACACAGGTGTGTCTGAACTTTTTTTCCCCTGTTAGAAGTATTCTTACCATATGTCTCAGTTCTACATCAGCCACCTTCAGTCTCTGGGCTTTGACAAGGCATGGGATTGTTACTTTTCGACATGTATGCTATTGGTGGAATTTAATATGCTTGTCATGTTCTGCTCTGACAATCTAAATACTGCAATCTGGGGTTACTGCTTTAGTCTCCACTGAAAAAGAATTTGGGTAAATATAAAGTGCATTTCAACAAGCATTCCTTCCATTTAAGCTTTAGGAGAAATAAACATTCCCAAATTTGAGAAAACTTCATTGTTTCTTTTACTGTCCTAGATTAATTTGATAAAACAGAAAAATAATCACAAACGTGCATTCCCACCACCCTTGCTTTCATTAAGAGCACTAAAAGGCCCTATCTCCTATTTGGTCTAATTGTGCAGTAGTTTTAATGGAAAAGACTGAAAAGTCTGGAAAAATATGTTAACTGGAGTCTCTATGTTTAGAGAAACACAAATTGCAAGCCATTCGACACTAAAAACATTTCATGGCATTTTACATATGATATATACACAAAGAGCAGTTTAGTCCCTCCCTGTCTAGAAGTGACATATAAAGATGTGTCTTCCATGAAGCAGCATGGCCATTCTTTTTTTCTCTTTCTCTCCTTTTAGCCTTCCTTTAAGGGAGCATTGCGTGACAGCTCTTCACAGGAGCTGCGTTATTTCAGAGACCATGCATGTTTAATGCCTTTTAGAGAGTCATTTAGCACCGTTTGTTTGATTTTATGGTATACAATGGTATATATGGTATACAGTGTGAACATTATGTTGTTTTGAAGTAGAACCGTTGATGCCATTCCTTCTTCCAAAAGGCATTTAGTGAATCAGGAGGTCTTTTATGAGGTTAATGTTTTGGAGTCTTGGTGTTCCTGTGGTCAGCATGAGTCAGTGTGTCCTGTGAACAGATTTGGGGGCCTCCTTTCTCTCTCAGTGGGTGTGTTTGTGTATTTTCTTGTGGGAGTGGGGGGCACTCTGTTATCCTCTGCCAGCCTAGATCAAGGGGCACTATAGGTCCTACAAGGGGTATCCCTGGCTTTTCCACATGGCAGACCCAGTTGTGTAGGATTTGGGAAACTCCAGCCATGCGTGCTGAAGCAATGTCTGACAAGGATGTATAATTAACAGGAATCAATGGGGAGACGGAGTAGATTTGATTGTGAAAAGAGGACCCTGTGCCACCCAGGGTCAAACGAGACATGGCAGATGTCAGAGGCCCCAGAGCGTACCTGTGCCAGGCAGTGAACCTAGCCCAAGGAGATTATGGCCGACCCACAGCATTTCACAGGCTGAAATTTGGAGCCCGACTGATCACACTGAAAGACATTTTACAAAAGCCCTCTGCAGCAAGGACAGGGTTCAAACACTTCGCTGCCTTTTCTTTCTGCCAACAGATTGAACAGTGGGATTAGTATATCTGCTGTAGCCACTCAAGATGCCAGCTACAAAAATGTATACAGCTTTCTGGACCATTTTTGTAGCTACTCAACAGAGAAAAAAGGTGTTAAAAATTCCATAACCCAAATGATAAAATATATCAATTTTGTAATGGCTCATCTTTCTGAATAAAATTGTTTCAGTTGGGCAATTTTACTGTCAAATGCTACTAATGTTGTTCATTAATAATTTTCACACAATTTTTAATGCACATTTACGAATACAAGGCTAATCCAGTCTGTCTTTAAAAGAGTCCTGGAGCACAGATTACCCTGGATATATGCAGATCAATACTGTTAAACCATAACCATAGTCTGCAGAGACTATGCAGGTCAAAACCAACTGTTGATAAACAGTGTTAGTAGAAAAGACTTTTACATAATTCAGGTGCTTTGAGATTAAGACACTTTTGTTCTTACTATGTACTTTCACTTTTTGGAGACGATAAAGCCCGTCTGCAACTTCATACATTTTTATATGTGTGCGAATGTGTGTGTGGTCATTCACTCAAGCCATTCACCCACCAGACTATGGAATGTTTGTTTCTGTGGAGAGAATTCTGGCCGATTGCCATCGGAGACTAGGGTTTTCTTTCACACCCTCAGATCCCCTGCCAGTATGGGAGAGGAGACTCCCACAGTGTCAGAGCCCACTTAAGTGCCAAACCCGGAGCCTAGCTCATTTTAGCCGGCCTGGCTTGAGGAAGACATTACCCACTTCATGTAGGGGTAAAAGATATCACAGTGCCTGACAGCATGAAAGGGCTCCACTGAAAACACTGACCCATAGAAGCTCTCATGGCGGCCCAAAAGAGCAGCGCTGATGTGGGGCAACAATGCTCACCCTTCTATTCAGCATATTAAGTGAATCAGGGCCGAATCCCTGTATGCTTCATTAATCATATGGCAGCTGTAACAGACCTGGAGAGGGGCTGCCTGAACTAGGTCACTCAGGAGAGCAGGTCTTGTGATTAAAGATTTTTTAAAGATAAGCAGGCCTGGGCTTTTAGCACACTGGCGTAATAGGCAGGTGGTGTTTAGATTACTATTTTTCACTCTAAAAAAATCAAAGTCCCTGAATTATGTGGAGGCTCTTTCAACTTTAAAAAACATCCTTCATACTCATATGTCTCACTTGCAAAATGTTACTTTAAAGAACCATCTATGGAAAGGTTCTTTAAGGAACCAAAAACAGTTCTTCAGTGGCTAAATAATCCCTTTAGCACATTTATTTTTTGAGTTTCCTCCTGACATAGAAAGATGATTTGGCCCAAATCATGAACTGATTTGACACTTCTACCAAGTGGTAAAAAAAACCTTCAAATAAGCTGATTGACCAGTAAGAGAGAAATTTAAAATCTGTTCCAGTCAAAACAGCCACAGCTGACAGAATCATACATAATGTTATTAAACTAAGCCTCTGTCTTTTAGAAGCTTTGAACTAATGACCCAAAACACGCCCCCAGTCATGTCTATCTGCACTTTCGATTAAGCCCACTAATAAAGCCATAGCGAGGGATGAAGACCCAGTTTAAATGCTAATAGTGTTGAATGTCCTGAGCGAGTACATCTTTAACTGCGCCCACCTTCTCATAGTACTTGACCTCGTAGTCCAGGATGATACCATTGGGTCTTTCTGGCTCCAGCCAGGAGAGTGAGATGCTGTTTCGGGATGTTCTGTCCTTCCTGATGACCGTGACCGGGGATGGAGCTGCAGAGAGAGACAAAATGAAAAGGGAGAGAGAGAGGGGGAGAGTGGGCAAGAGAGCGAAAAAGAGGATTAGCTTCTTCCACTCTGCCTGTGACTGCATTACATGCGCATAGAGCTGAAGTTCACAGGAAGTTCAACGGACATTTTGATTCAACTATTTGCATCCTGTGAATTAGTTCCTGTTGACCTAATTGCGTTTGTTCTCCACTGGGGGCCGGTTTCAAAGTTGGGAAAACTGAGGATATAAAGACACAATGATGCGGTCGTCTATAATTTGCTTTATCAGTCAATAGCGAAGACGGCTTTGTCACACAAAAAAGAGGCCACTGCCTATGCAAGTGCAGACTGCAAGGAAAAAGAGTCTCACAATCTTTAAGGGCAACGTGCTTCAAACATCAGTCTCATACGTCTCTCGGCTCTGGCATTTCACATGGTCTCAATCTGTGATCATAATTCAAGTCAGAGTTCTGCGCCTCCCTCCTCCTGCCTGGCTTGCTTGCTTTCTTTTTTCAATTTTACAGCTCTGTAATTGCAAGGCGGCATGGAGGCCATGAAGGCATCTGACTGGCCCGTGTTTTAATTTTATTAGACCACAGGAAAAAACATGTTGTTCTTTGAAATGTTCGAGCTTTTCTTGATTGTGATTATACAGTTTTGAATGTCTCTTCCCCCCCTTGGAAACTTTAGGCCTGTTAATGAATCCAGATGGAAACAGTCTGTTCCTGGTTGCACTCCTACACAGCATTCTGATAAGGTATTATTGAAGTTTTATAGTGACCACAGTTTATAGTAGGTAAGATTTATGGTGTATAGACTATGGGCTATTTGACACTGTATATCCTTCTCAGCTTTCTGCTTTATGCGCATGACACTCACAAGCATAAAGCACCACATATAGTCCAGTCCAAGAATGAATGGGCAACATTCTTCTAAAATGTGTAAAAAAGGTAAGCCTATGGAAGCAATTGAAAGAATATTCGGTTACAAAATTACAGAGAGGAGGCCACCTCACCAACTTTCAACTAGAAGCCACAACCTGTAGTGGATTAAAACCAGATTACAAATCGCTGGCATTTACAGGTGTGGCTAACGGTATTGCTCCACCGCTTTGTTGCGAGAGAGCTCCAGATATAAACATTTATATATTATCTTGATGAAATGCAGGCAAAGCGATGACAATCTGCAGATCACTCGTTCACCAAATGTCCTCGAGAATTGGTCTGTGGGAAACAGACTCTAACAACAGATGCATCTGAAACTTCTTGCATGGACCCTCCCTTTCTTTCCCTAGCTCCTCTTACACTCTCTAAACCCCCCCCCAGCGGTAGGGAGAGGATCTGGCAGCCAGACAAATATTTTATTTGCAAAAATCCTCACCTTTCCACCTAACTGTCCAGTTAACCTTATCTTCCCATTCTGCAACGCCCAGCGAGACTAAATAAATGTAAGAAGGACATCACACTCAGTTCTAACTCTCCTATTGTTATCAGCTTTGTTGAAAATCTACATCCTGTCCTGGCAGGAACGAGCAGGAGGCCGTGGTTTGTCTGACGACACCCTGTCAAAATGGCGGAACACAAACGTTTTAAAGCTGTTGCGAGCAAGACGAGAGCACTGTCCTAACATACAGGGCAGCTTGTGTGTGTTGTCTCTCTGGGGCTGCGCTGCACATGCTAGATGTGTTTAGAGTGGGCTGTGCTGACATCCCTGTGAGCTCCTCGTAAATGCACTCTCTGACAGCGAGTGCAGCTGTGGGGCGAAAGCGCCGGGTTTGCTGTTCACACATCTATCTCCTGCTTCCATTTGCATTTTATAGGACGATAAAGGTAGCTAGATTACTTGTCCAAGGTTGAAGGAGTGGAGCTGTGGCGAAAAGCGGTCGTGATCTCAATTGTTTCGGGCTCTCTGAAAGAGCCCAAAGATGAAACGGAATACTCATTTAGATCCACTGTTTACATTGAGAGAAGAGAAGCCAAAAGAAAAGAGAATTTTAGCCAAGCACTCTCTCTGCACTCCACAGCAAATGCAACTGCAATGGAATGAAATGGAAAACAGCTTTATAGTGTGAGAGATATAGTGTGTGCACACACATAGTAAGAGTGGGCAGGCACCCAAGTTGGTATGTGTGTAGAGAAACAAATACACCATTCAAAATAACTGCATAGATGTTGTACCATGCTTCTCTGGACGTTCATGGAATGTCTGCCAATCAGCACATCGTTGTTGTCCTACATATGTATTTCGCTGTTGTTGGAACAAAACCTTGTATCTCCAAAATGATCACTTTACAGGAGAAGGAAAAAAACTACTTTATTTTTAATGCAAGTGAATGAAACCAGACTTTTTTCCAAGTCATCCTGGGCCATTTCTTTCAGTCCATTCAACACGAAATTTACAAACAATGTTAAGGGCAACAGGCATATTTTTTAATTATGTCAAAAACCAAAAAACAACAAAAATGAAGATAAGAGGTTTTGCTCTTACATCAGATATATATATATATCTCTGCTGTCATATAGATAGATAGATAGATAGATAGATAGATAGATAGATAGATATTGGAATAAAATATCTAACTTACATTAACAGTTAAGAACATTTTACCTACTCCTGTAAAGTTTCTATTTTGGAGATATGTTTTTGGACAGCAATGATCACTTACTCTTATACAAACTGACTGTGTCTCTAATGAATATTTTGGAACTTAAGCTAATTTAGAGCAAATTAAGTTCTTCATTCTTCATCTAAAAAATTAAGGGAGACGTATATTTTCTGCCTATCCTGTTGAAGGCATCAAACATTTTTCGAACCATCCGTGTTTGGCAATCACTTCTTTAATAGATCACAGCTGTGACAACACTAAGAAAGCTCAAACCACACAAAAGTATAACCAGAATACACTGAACATTGACAAGGAAATGTCATCGGAATCGTGAGGCCAGTACATTAAGAAATCTAAAAGAGCAATACTTAATCATGCATGATGCAATGCTTGTTCAGAAACGTCCAATTTATGTGGAAAATGAAGCTACACTAAGCCAATAATAAGTATTCATGATTTTTACATTTCATAATTGTGAAACCACATGCCACAAGCCTTCTCTTGTTATTTTTAAAAACACATCAGTATCTATGGAACAGGAGCAGATACTGCATAGATAAAAGATTAGCTAAGCACATCTCCAGCGTCCGCTCCATAACAGTAAGGATTTTATGAGTTTTAAAGCAAAGTCAACTGCTCCCTTTGGTAAGAAGGGTGCAAAACTATCAATCCTTAGCCTTTGATCTACAGTAGTCCTCTGCCTACTATTTTATGGCACCAAACTCCGGAGCCTATAAGCTCAGCTCTAAAGCTTGTGCTAAATCACCCACCAGGTCCTGCACCTATAACTTTAAAGACAGAGCAGAACTGACAGAAGAGACAGAAGCCTGGGCCCCACAAGGCCTGAGAACACAACTGCTCATCTTCACCGAGGAAACTCTAGCGGAATGGAAGGCAGATGGTGCTCCATTCAGCCTATATAGTAACCTGAGGAGTCATAACCTTCAGTCTGCCAGACTGGACTCCAGCACCTGCAGACAGATATGTGCACAGACAGCTCTGATAGCACATGACACATCAGAAGGGGAGGATCAAAAATAGGCTCGCTGAGATATTAAATGGCTCTTTTCTTCTCTCCAAATGGAATTTTGAGCTTTGTTGCACATCGCTGCCAAGAAATTGAATTGTCTTTATGAATATGTTGCTACCAATCCTGCAGAGATATGCAGACATGACACTGATGCTCAGTGAAGAATATTGCAGGGTTTCCTGTGTGGTGACATGCCTTTAAAAAAGTGTTCACTATTTGTTAGCACTATGGTAAAGGGTTATTTACCATTAAGCAGTAGGTTCTGATTTGCTTGATTTTCTGGAAGAGCTGAAGTAGTAAAGACAGGCTCACCTGCTTGGTTGGTTGTTATTGTGACAGCAGCGTATTGGCGCAGTGCAGGGGCCAGAGAGGAAACTCCATTCTGTGCCTCGATCTCAAATGTGTAGTTGGTGTGTGCCAGCAGGTCTGCAACGGTCACAGTGGTGTTGGTGAGGCCTGTAGCACGGGGCAGGAAGCGCACAGCCCCTCTGCATGGCTCACACTGTTTGGAGCCAGTTAAACACCGCTTACACACTACGTTAAACATAATGTCCTTTCTGCCTCCCGTGTCTGCTGGCCAGCTCCAGTCCAGGATCACCGACGTCTCGTTAATGACCGAGATCACGTTCCGGGGGGCTGAGGGAGGACCTGATAAGAAAATGAAGCAAGTGAGAAAAACACATGGACATACAGATTTAAAGCTGTGCTGAGTTTATGAGTTTTTCATCAGGATATGCAATTTTGTAGTAGGAACCTTCAAGCTATATTAGGGATATGGAATTCTTTTTTCTTATTAAACCCTTGGCAGGACTTCTTAAAGCTTCATTATTACTTTAGATTTGGTAAGAAGGGTCTTTCTTCAGACCGCTAGGTTAACTTTAAAGAATGTTGTCATAAAAAGGAAGTGGGAATAAGGTGCATCCACTAGGCTTTCGCTTGATTGCAAAAGCAGGCTGAGCACTGAAGTGAGTGACATGAGTCTTTCCCTATGGTGACAACAATAATTTGGAGTTTATTCTTAGGATAAGGCAAGGAGCAGGGCATCTAGCTCTGTCCACACGTCAAAACTAGTTTGGCATATACATTGCATTTATTTCTTTATTTTCTAATGAGCAGTTTTTATGTTCCTATCATTCAATTCTAGACATTTGGGTGCTATTATACTGAACTTTTGGCTTTGCTCTGGAGATAAAAGTAATTGTGCTGAGGGTCAAGAGGGGATTACGTTTGGTTGTTTGATTTGACATGAAGAATTTACACCTACAGCCTGAGGCACTGCTGGATCTTCTTACCTTTGGCTCTCCCCAAGAAGTCAAACCGAGAATGAGGAGACGATTTAATGATGCATAAAAAAAACAGCACATTACACAAAGGAGTGGAATGACTCAAACCGTATCTACATTCCCAGTCGCTTTTGCCTTGATTTTGACACAGCACTAAATCAGCACTTAAGCTGGGTCAAATACAGGATGTACCACACTAACCACGTAATAATTACTTGCATCATTAAAGATGAGCTTCCTTTGCAGTTTTCTTAGGAAATAAAACAAAACAGATGACTCAACATATTTTAAATAAAGCAGATTTATATTTTACGTTGCAGCAGTGTGAATACATTTGAGCATTCCTCTGCAGATGAACAGGAATAATAAAACGTGAAGTCATTTTCAATTTCAGAAGGACAAGGAAGACACAAATGGGATTCAGTCCACAGGAGCAAGGCCATAAACCATCCTGTCTGCTTGCAAGTCAGGGGGAAAAAAAAGTGGAAATGTGTTGAGGGTTAACATCTTTGCCAGAGCACAGCATCCTTTGATCCGGACTTATAATAGAAATCACAGTGTGCCAGTTAACGTTAACAGACTGGCTGGCCCGCCAGCAGGATGTGAGGTGTGCTGGAGTAAGCCATCCATTACACACACACAGCCCTTCTGACAAGCAGCTCAGCCTGCTGCCCACGGAGGTGTGAATACAGCATTCAGGACCACAACAGCCTAAAATTACCACTGCCACCTCAAAGCCGGAATCACAACACAGTTTGGACCCATGACTTTGAGAGTATGACATATGAGTCTTGTTTGCATGCTGTTATTGATAAATGTTCCAGATACGTAACATATTCATTCCAGTCTACTCTAGACATTTTTCTCACATTGAAGATTTATGCTATTGAATATACAAGCTTTATGGGGTCATAAAAAGGAGACAGGCAGAAATAAACAGGTCTATTTATACATACTAAAAGCAGGCATAAATAAGCGTGCCTTTGAAATGTCTGACAAGTGAGTGAACACAGGACTCAACTGACAGTGCTTTACAGAATCCAACATAAACTATGTAAATATTCCGTCAGTTAATTTATGAAATAACCAAAACTTGTACTGTGTACATCATGAACTTCGGACCCAAATTATTCAAAACAGTTCAAACGCAAACGGAAAGTTAAAATGTCTAAAGAATCTTGGATGACCTTCAGAATTAAAACAGATAAAATCATAGAAGGCTTCGCTTTAATTGCAGAACTACTCTCAAAGCCGTGCTAAAAGCTAGTCTGTTCTAGCAAGAGTAGCATCCATGCATCTTGGGAGATTCTATCTAGATAAATGTGTCTGCTTGAGGGCTATGACAGCATGACGCACTGAAATTAAACTCACATATCAGGCTGTTCCTGTGTTTTCACCATATTCCTTGAACCTTTCTCCTAAGCAGTATAAAAGACACGACGCCACCTATCAAAGACTGAAACAGGAACTGGCTGTAAGTGCTCGGGTGGAAACAAAGACTTAGAATAGCTTTTGACAGAGCAAATAAATGTGACGCGTGTGTGCATAGCATGACCTAATATGCTGACCACTTTGGATGTCACGTAAGACACACTTTATTAAACTTGGCCTCAGAATTCAACACGCGCGCAGTGGTTCTACGTGATCTGAATCAGCACTGATAGCGAGACCATGATTTATGGATAATGTGTTTTGGAATGCTTGGCAGTGGTTGTGTGCATCTGTGTACCATCTGCATCCCTGTCTATAAAAGAGAATGGGTTAGCTCACTACACGGTGCAGCCCAGGGAGATCCACTGGGTTACAATGGTTAAAAAATAAACAAACAAAGCCTATTCTCACAGGGGCTGCTTGGACTGAGTTGTGGAGGATCAGAAGCTTTGTTAGATTGAGCCAACACAAATTCATCAATCCCAGAACAAACACCATAAACCACAGCACTTAAGACACTAGCTTTAGGATTGCTGTGCAGCATGCTTAAACTGATGTGAACAGTTGTCTACACAAGACATGAGATTCTGAACGACGCTGATGATTCAGCTATGATTTAGCAAAGGCCTCTCATCACATTGTGGTGTTCTTCATGCAAACTCGTCTGATGAAAGGCACGCTGCGGTAAAGCTGGAAATATCTGTCTGAACCTAAGGGGTCCTGAGTGCCCACGTCTGGTTCGGTTGGGTTCACACGTCATTTTCCAAATATGTGACGGGCTCGGGTTGAGTTCAGATTTCAGGCGTTATGTTATATGTGATGTTCTATGTAAGGAAAGAAAAAAGTAAGATGTAAATAAAAACAATTTAGGCTTAAACAGGTTAAGGCAAACATCTCGCTAGAGCTTGAAATATTTGTCCAGACCTGACAGGGACCGGACTGCTCGTGTAGGGTTTGCTCGGGTTTTGACATCAATTTTCAAATGTGCGTCAAAATAATTAATGTTCGTGTTCTCACAACTCGCCTCACACTCACAACAGATTTTATCCTGCATTTAGTTTTTCTTCTTACCTTAGCTTTTACTACTTTTACTACTTTAATTTCTTTCTTTAATATGGCACACTGGATTCACCCACTCAACACTGATGTCCACAAAGCCTATTAGAAAATTAGACATAAACAGCAAATCAATTTAGAAATTGCTTAGCCAAAATTAATTGTATGTTACATGTTCTATGTATCATGTTCTATGTACAGAAAGATAACTTTATGATTAAATGGATCATATTTTAGTACCATGCCGTGTGAGAACAGCACAGTATGTAAACATGAGATGCTGTTCAAAAGCATTATTTGATGCATAGACTCTTTAAAGCAGAATTTAAATTTTATTTTGTAGAGCTGATTATTTTATTCTAACATATTATTTTATATTGTTTTAAGATTTTACTTATCCCAGTTGTTATTGTCATTACCTTGTAAGTGTGCTATCCTGCACCTTCTGCACTCTGGGTGATGGTTGAGCTGGTTTGGGTTAATTTTGAAAAGAAATCTTGTGTTACCTTTGTAATCAAAATATGTTGATGTGGTTCGAGTCAGTTTGGGTTTGGATAAAAAACTGTCAGGCTTGGGTCAGGTTTGGATTTGAAACTTGACATGTATGTCCAATAGGGCTCAAACAAAAAATTCTCAGGCTTGAAGCTCTAGGCTTTTTAGCACCACACAGTGTGAGAACAATGCATTATGGAAAGGTTATTTAGACTAAAAATTTTTGGGATGTTGTTCAAAAGCATTGCTTGGTGAAAAATTTATTAAAGTGTGAGTTAGCTGATTTTTATAGCCTATTATTTTATAAATGTTTTATATTTTATTTATGCAAAATCTGACGACAGCTTTTATTTCCATTACAGAGTAACCGGTTCTATCCTATCAGGCTTTATCCGACATGTTAGGTATTGTTTAGGTCAGCTTCAGAAAGAAGTTTGTTGTACTATAGTCTGTTTCGGACTTGATGTGGTTCGGTCAAGTCAGATTCTGATTTTTGTCAGGTCCGGGTCAGGTTTGAACTCAAAATGTGTTGCTGTGTGGCGTGTTGGGCTGGGACAGAAAATTCTTGGGCTGTATTTGGGTTTGGACCCAAATTTTCTGGGCTGTGGCTGCAGGTGCGTGATAAGCGTACAGTGAAGAATACGTACGGGTGCAGGCCATCAAAACAGGGTCTCCCGCTGATCGGAAATAGTTCTTCTCACAGCTGCAGTGCACGGCGCCCTCCTGGTGTGTGTAGCTGTGTGGGGGACACTTGGAACACTTCGCGTTCTCAGAGGAGGCCTTATAGAAGCCAGGCCGGCAGGCTGCGGAGACAAACAGAAGCGGAAGACAAATTAGGATGCTGGGAGCCTTTAGCCAACAGAGTCATCCATTACCCCATTACCACGCTGCCACCTTTAATGGACTGAATCATTTCACATGACCATATGCATCAGCAGACACACTGCAAAGACTTTTAATCATCAGACCTTAACCCAACAATACACCCAAAGTACAGAGATTGTCTGCGTGTGAACTTCTACGTTGGACGTGTGAGGAGAATTGTGGAGTGGGAGTTTACTCCTTTTAGATGGAGGGGGTGGGGGAAGTGGGTGCCAAGCCGAAGCCCAGCGATAAAACACATTTAAAAATGAGTCGCTACTCTCTCCCTTTAGCGACACGTCCAGGGGATGTTGCATGAATTATGCAAATACACCTCTTAAAATGGAAAAAAGCTCTCTTTAAATATCTCTGGTATTAAATTGTACTCAGCAGCTCATCCGCTCCTATTCATGAGAATTCCATTCCATTACCCATAATGAAGGGGAAAAAAAATCACGACGAGCCAGCTAATTACAGGGGCTCACACAAATCTGTATTCCACTCCTCTCTTTTTCACAGGTTCAATACTTGTCACTTGATACAGTTGGCGACTCGAAGCTTTCAAGTCAGCAAAAAAAGATTTTTCTATACCCAATTCAATTGTGCTTCAAGGCCAGACATACGTGGGCTTTAAGCTCCTCTTTGGCTTTTACTCCACTAGAGCAATGGTAGCAGTTTCTACCTCTCTGGGAATGCAGTATTAGAGACCATCTGAACAAATAACGTGCAGCCCTCCTGAGCCTGCCTGGCTGTCACCAGCAGAGGTGTGATGGTTATTACACACTGTCCCGCACTCACAGCTCTTCACTTGCCACCTACTATTGGGCATCTGAAGTGCTGTTGTCTCTTCGGAGCGGCTGTGCTGTGTTCTGTGTGAGCATGGTAGAGAAGCAGGAGGCCGAGTGTGAGATTTGAGAAATCAGGTTTACATTAACCCGCTGCTCCTTAGAGGCTCCCCCGGCCACCGTACAAAACAAGGCTGACAAAAAAATCAGCAGCGCCTATTAGCCTGAGTTATGGGAAATCGAATGTGACGCAGAGTTTCCTCAGCAAATTGGCAAATACACAGTCCCAAATGAGATAAACATGCAGCGCAGTATAGCCAGAAGACACCTCACTGCAGGACTGTGGGTTTCTCAAAACAGCAAACAGAAACACGATTGTGAATTTATTTAGTGCTTATCCTTGCCTGTTTACCGAGAGTCATCTGATGAGGTGTTAATTATTTGTAGAATCCTTGAGTATTTACATATGAAACAAAATACACTGATTTAGAAGCAAATAAATAGCAAAGAGTACTAAACAAAGAGGCATTTAGTGTATACTTGTAGAGCCACTGGAGAAACTGGTCATTAGGGTCAGCTAAACAATTCTAAAACTAGGAATGTCCCAGTCCGAACTGGAAGACTGGGATCAGAGCTGATCCCATTATATTTTTATAAACTGGGTACTGAGGCCAAAAATATACTTGAGTGAATCCACACTTAACATATCTACACTTATACATACTGAAGTACAAAAGTAAAAAGTAAATGTTTTAACAGATAAAATGAAAAGTTTGTGTATGTCTTCTTCTTCAATGGGGCATGGTGCTGTGACAAATGGCCAACACTGGTTCTTGCACGTAGATGAATTAGCATATGTGTGGGTTGTTTCAATATTACCTTTATATTAATGTAGTTGGGTGTTTAAAAAAAATATAAAATCACTAGAACTTGACTGATTACCAAGAAAAAAAGAAATATCCGAGTCCTGTAAAGAGTACTTCGAAGGTTTAAATGAAAATATACGTGGTAAAAAAAAAACAATAAAAAACAAAACTATTTTCTTTAGTGTAGTGTATTCATGTCACTATAAAATTGTTGTTTAATATAAGTAGTGCAAAACATATCAGTTCAGAGTATATATCACTTTGCACAAATCACAAATTAAGTAATTGTACTGCAGCTTCTAAAATGGTAGTCAGTATTATCAGATCATTCAACTAAACTGGAACATAAAACACACTTTAAATTGACATTAGCAGTATCAGCACATTAAAAATAAGTAAATAAATAAATAAATGGAGAATTAATCAATAGACTTTTGGACACTATGCTTATTCAATTATTAACTTTAAGACTTTATTTGGTGACTACTATGAAACAAAATATTGAAGGTAGTTTTGAGAGTGGTCATGGTTAAGACAATCAATAATTAAGACAATTAATAAATAGCATGAGAAATTAATAAAAACTGTAATAACAATAACAAAAATAAAAATTTGCTTCCTTCTGGTAATGCTGCTTCTTCAACAGAAAGCTTTTACGTTAGATATTTGATTAGCTGGATATACAGTTTAGAAATAATATTTATTTAGTTAAACAACAGAATTAAGCTGTAAGTCAGTTTAATAAATCATGGGGCTCAGTCTGGTTGCAGGTTAATTAGTCAAGTGCAGCAAACATGCTAATGGGAAGCTCTTCATTATAGCTTAATGATAGTTTTGCCAATCTTGAAATTAACAGTGGCCTGTGTGAAGATTTTAATGCCACCTACAGCAGCAGCCTCAGTCTCATCCCAAAATGTGTTAATTCTCCAGATATTTGCAGTCATCATCATTACAAAGGTTTAAAAAGTTCTTAGCAAACATTAGCTAGTTAGCACAGTGACATTTTCATAACAGGCAACTGTAAAGCTAACCACTTTGTCTCGATTACTGAGAAGAATCGACAGATGATAACCAACCCTACTGGTCATGTAAGGTAAAGTTCTTCGCCTCAATCATGCCAGTGCTTGTCCTGGACAGCTTTTTAATGAAAGTCTGAGATGCAGTCATTCCTGGTGACATCTCCCTCTCATCCCTCACAGCCTTTATATGTACTGTATGATAGGCTATGAATGACATTAACCAGCGGCCTGCCTCCACTTCTTCTACATCTCACACGCCGCTCAGCTGTTCCGGGGGTTCTTGTCTAAGCGTGCGGAGTGTGTGAAGATATATAAGCGAGTGTGTCTCTAACAAGTCGTGTCGGGCAGGAAGTGCCTCACCTCTCCTGGCAATGTGTACATGCGTGAATGAGTATGCCTCTGTGTGTGCGTGTGTGTGTGTGAGAGAGAGAGAGAAGGAGAGAGAGATTGGGTGCCGTTATTGATTGCACGTGTGCCGTGAGGAGACACTGGAGCTGACTCTCAGGCTAACAGGCAGAGGGAGGGAGCAAGGCGGCTGTGCAGAGCCACAGAGGTGATTTCTCATCCAGGCCTTTCTCAGCACACTCTACACACACACTCAGTCTTCATACGGACCCACAGACACTCTCCCAGGAGCTGTGCTTAATCAGGATATGACAGATGATCTTATTATTTTGTCGATCTCCTCTTTGTTTTTTTTTTTCAAAATGTTTGATGGTGGTGCGCTGAAGGACCACCAGGACTCTGAGGAGCGAACAAAACAGTGCATGGTATTTTGTAAAACATATGTACAGACTGTGTTACAGTTTATACTGCCAGTTTCTTGTTTGTGGTCATGTTGTCTACACATGGTAGGCTATGCATTGACTGTCAAAAGTTTGGGCTGCACTCTTTTTTGCTTTACTTTTTTTTTAACATTAATCAACCTATTTTGTAAGGACCAATATCCTAAATTTTTCTGTGTAGCAACTACAATTATTTTTATATTAGCATTTCCCAACCTCTCTTTATCCCTTAGAATTAAACAGCCTATTTTTGTTACTTGAAATTAAAATCAGTATATGTAATTGAGCTCTGTTCTAATTGGCTGCCCCGTATTGTGCCTCATTCCAAAAGCAGTCCAGGCTGAAATGCTCCTTATTAACTGTGACATGAATAAGTGGAGCTAAATTGCTGTAGACTGAACACACAGTTGTATTTAAATGATGTTTTTTGTGACATCACAAAAACATTTAATTCAGAACAAGGAATTTGCAGCTTAGTTCAAATAAAATGTATGGACATATTATTGCACACACAATAAACTCATTTCAAAAAAGCTACAAAAATGTGATTTTCTATGATATGGAACTTTAAACATATGTGAAGTCTACAGCTGGGCCTAATCAGGTTTATTTTGAGGGAAAAAAACACATGTTAAAAAAAAAAACTGTTTTAGATAGTAAGGGAATACTTAGAAATAATGCAATACCTCACATATTTGACACTTATCTCCGTACTGTGATGTCAGAACTCATTATCTTTAGGTTTTTCAGCTACTTAAACCACCTTTAGGCCAAATATTTTAATGACATTCATTGTAGAACAGTTTAGAAAACAGTCAATGTTTTACTTAATATATATATATATATATATATATATATATATATATGCGATGGACTGGCGATCTGTCCAGGGTGTATCCTGCCTTCCGCCCAATGACAGCTGGGATAGGCTCCGGCACCCCACCGCGACCCAGAAGGATAAGCGGTTTAGATGATGGATGGATGGATATATATATATATATATATATATATATATATATATATATATAAATAAATATATATAAATTAATACATCAAAAAGTAAGTGAAAGTCTGTGATCTGAGACAGGAAGGTGTCTCCAAACTTTTGAGTCACTGTATCTTTGATTATTGCACACGATATCCGTATGTCGGCCCACATTGATTGTTTTTCGACTGAGTGGCCAAGTAAGATTTTCATTACACTGCATATGTACCTGTATAGGTTTCATAGATTGAATAAACCTAAAAACCATGGAACAAAAGCAGAGATGCTCCACTGATATCAGCAACTGCTGATGTGACAGAGACAACCTCCAGCAGACTCCAACCACTCAACAGCTCCAAGTCAATCAATACGAGTATGGTACGGACATGGCAGAAGGTGCTGGCTGGTTTAGTTTACTGTAACGTTCTTACAGTAGCTCGCAATGAGTGAGAGGCTGCAGGGAACAAATGCATTCATTCAGCAGCTCCTGTTCAGACTAATT